GTGAAATCAGTTTTCGACGGTTTTGGACCGTTGGTGTTAGTTTGGATAGTTACCGTTCATCTTTCCTGGTGCCGGCCAAGTCCTCTTTGAACAAGCAATATCTGGAACGTTTTGGAATTGGGTCAAGTTCAACAATGCCTGGGTCAAAGAAGGGACAGAGTGTCTTGGATGCAAACAGGAAAGTAAGTCATGGTGACTTGTCTGTTACTTGTAACGATGTGTCTGATGTTAAGCATGACATGGTTGATGTTACTGTTTCACCGTTCAGGGATAATAGGAACATCAAACTCCCTAAATTTGAACCACGGTGTTTCGATGGAAACCCGGCTGATTATTTACAATTTGTGAAGGAGTTTGAGATCATGCTGAGTAGTTTTTTATTAAGTGATGAATTGAAATTGATGTATTTGATGAGGTATTGCACTGGAGATGCTGCAAGAGCTATACAGTGCTGTAAGTTTATGAAGTCAAAAGAGGGCTACTACGAGGCTATGAGCATACTACGTCAAAGGTTTGGAAGACCTTCGATGATTGCAGGGAAATTATTCGAGGCTGTTAAGGATAACGGCAGTCAACTTCAAGATGACTCCAAGGTACTTACTGAGTTTTTGAATAATTTGCTGATTTACAAGAATGCATTGATTTCGATGAATTGCATGAGTGACCTCAACTCGAGTTTTATACTAGAAGTAATAGCAAGACGCCTACCTACTCGACTGCAAAGGAAGTGGGTGAAGATAAGCTCCCGTATGGAGGATGAGGGTATCGAGCCAAAGTTTGATGATATCCTGAAACTAGTAAAAGATAGTGTCAATCAATCTATGAGCAAGTTCGCCAGTCTATTGAATCTCACCCCTAGAATAGAGCAGTCTGAGGGTAAAATGCAATCATTGATGACGAAAGGGCCTCAGAGAGGTGGATATCGAGAAGGCTCCATGATGTCTAGTAATGCATATAGACCTAGTGAGTGTAACAGGTTTCGTAGTACATCCTCAACAGATAAGTTACAAGATGCAAGACAAACACGGTTGTGTTTTACACGTTTGCAAGAGGTGCATACAAAGGTGAACTGTGAACCAGTGAGCAAGTTCAGTGATAAGCTAAATGTAAACTCCAGGCCTGACTCCGAATTGTGTGACGATAACGTTGTTGTGAAGAAGTCTGTAGTTGCAACTGGTAAGCCATTGTTGAATGGAGTATCACAGAATAGAGTTACAGTTTCAGAGTGCAGTTCTGACTCCACAAGTTTACAAGGTGTTACTAGTCAGAGTGAAGGTATAAAATGTTTAGGCATTTGTGAGGAAGAACCCAAGTCATCTACTTCTGTTATTAAAGAGTTTGAAAATGATGAAGTCGACCAGATAGATGATGGTAAGTTGAATATTTGTGATAATGATCATGATAGTGCAGATTTGTCTTTGGTCGATCATGATGAAATGAGGGGAGTGCCTACTACTGCTAAGTTAAATAAGGGTTCTGTACAGCTCAAAGGTGAAGTAGAAATAAATGCAGTTGCAGCAGGCATGTATACTTGTCAAACCGTCAGTTTAATTGATCAGCATGTAGCCCACCTATCATCAGATGCTATTGCTAAACCTGAGCTGATAGTAAAAGACAGCAGTAGTCGTAGTCTTGCAGGTAGACAAACTTCTGAAAGTCGAGCAACAACAGCTTCTGATCCACCGCTAACTTCATCAACTGATATCAATCAGTCGTCGTTGGTGCTGTCATCCACAATGAAACAGTCGCCCATCAACTCAAGTATCTTCTGCAATGACTATGATAGTATCAGTTCGTTTGAAAGGACGAATATCAATGGTCAGTTTAGCGAGAATAAGCCAAGTGTAAACGAAAGAGTAATTGTTAAATTGACTTGCATGAATAAAGGCATTTCTAGTTTCAAGTTACTATTTGAATGTTATTATCTTTGGTGTAAATTACTCTGTGCCTATGCTTGGTTGACCAGATACGTCGTGTGTTTGTTCGTCATCTATATTCTACGATACAATGACATGAGCGTGTTTCCGTTCAGATTTGAGCATATAGGTGATAGAAGGAAGTCATCAAATGAACTCTGCAACGATTTTCCAACCTAGGGCGTCAACCTGAGAAGGGTTGTAGGCGTACTGCTGTAAGTCCTACAATTCTTCAAAGGGTAGCGCATCAATGAGCAGTCCAATGTGCTTGGTGTGTGATTTTGTACATATGTTCATATTGTATATACTGAATTGATATCATCTGTCATCTAGCTGTTGGTAATTCTGTTTGTGTCCGGACGACTTCCACTTGGATCATCAACCTGAGAAGGAATGTAGGCGTACTGCTGTAAGTCCTACAGTTCTTCAAGGGTAGTTTGTCGTGCCAGAATCCACAACATTTGATGTGTTGATTGTACATATGTTTGTGTTAAATAATTGTGTGAGTTCCAATTATTGTAATTGTTGGTTAATCTTGTTTGTGTCCGGACATTGCACAACTTACAATCGTCAACCTGTGAAGGGTTGTAGGCGTACTGGTGTAAGTCCTGCGATTCTTCAAAGGAATTCCACTAAAACATGATCCGCGAGGTTATGTGTACTGTTTGTGTATACGTGTGGTGTGTCATATCAATTGGTGTTTTTGGATTCATTGTGTTTACTTGCTGTTTTCGTACCTTGTTGTTATTGCATAATTTTGTTAAAACTTTCGTTTTGATTACTTCTGAAGTTGTTTCGAGTCTTCTACATCCGTGAATGAATTGATTGATGTTAGAGACAGCAGATGGGTCGTATACGCCGGGAAGGCTATTGCTGAGAATGAAATGCATACGGAGATAATTGTTAGCTGTGGTCCCACACGCCTGGGAGCGAGAGTGTAAACGACTGAGGCTCGCATACGTCATCGTTACTAGAATTGAGGCAGAATGAGTGACAAGCGATTTCAGTGGTAATTGGTAGTGAGTAGATAAGAGGATGAGCGTAGAGTATCGTGAGGTGGTGCTATGGTCACGTTGCATTCTCCAAGAGTCATTCTAGCAGGTGGCGATTGTGTTGCAAGATGTCAAGAGGAGGCCTTTATCTGGAGGCGCAGGTCGTCATTAATGTGTGAGACTGTGCTGTGGGTATGCTTGTGGTGTGTTGGCTTTTCTGTTTGTTTTCCATTTCAGCTCTGTCCGTGTGACCCAGGTTCTCGCAATGGCATCCAAGTCAACGTGTACTGGTCGTGAAGGAAAAAAGGGTTGGATCCGTTTTTTGCCGGGGAGTGTCAATGGAGTTGAAGATTGAACGATCAATTCATGGTTGTTTGCTCAAAACCAACTTCCCCAATTTTCGCGGAGGCATCAATACAACAGTCATCGTCTCATCGGTCGGTGTTCAGAAAGAAGTCAGCGATAAACCGTCAGAAGTAATATTGTGATTTATTATTGTAATATTTGTTCACAGACCTTAGTTGTAACAGTGTTTATATGTTGGTGTAACAATAAAGAATCCTCGAGTCGCCAATTGGTGTTTTGGTTTTTGCGTCCGTTATTACTAAGCGTTTCTGAGAAACTTCAAGGAACAGCGTGAGCCCGAGCGTAGCAAGAGCTGGGCATTAACGGTTTACGAGACGTGTGTGACATCGCTACCTCAACACCGTCGGCCTTTGAAAGGCTTCGCAGCGTTAACTACGAAGTGGTTTGTCAGCTCCATTATGCATAAGATTTTATTTTGATAAATCACATAGTGTTGTACAGTTATATCAAATATATATAAAATTTGTAAATCAAATATTTAACTGTCGAAATATAATTATCTTGTAGAGAATCTACGATTTGATATTATATCATACTTGATCGTCCCTGTAAAAATGGCATGCATTTTCATGTAAATTTATATGTTTATACGAGAATATACATTATTATTATTAATTGATTACGTTTCTAGCACGAACTATTGCTCATAATCATATCAAGTTGACATTATGATCTAGAAACGCTGAACCTCGAGGTTTATTTATGTCAATAAGTAGCAAAGTCGAAGATTTACTAGAAAGAGCTGAAAAACCTGCAGGAAAAGACAATGCTTCAAGAGAACATGGGGAAGATATGTGATGAAGACAACTATCCAACATTAGCAGGTATCAATCATTACCAGTGGCGGAGATATATAGGAATATCACTTCTTTCGCTTACTGAGGAATCATGGCCCCAACCAAAGGTATCGCGTTCCTTCTTGATTTTGGTTAGTCAGTGGAATCACTAATCACGGCACCTATTGCGGATTAATTCATACATTTCTGTGTTTCATTTACTTAGAAATTTACATACACATATTTCTGATCTCTGATCGCAGAGTTATTAAAAATTAGGTGATGAAAACAAATGGTCATCAAAATTAAGAAGTAGGTTTCGAGATCTGAAATGTAGGGCTTTGACAGCTGTATGGGGCACGAAAAATCGAACAGCACACTAAATTGCCTAGCTGTTCGACAGCACACCTTCACTTTAGCCAATCGAATTCAATAGTGCTTAATGGTACTGAGTTTTGAGTGATGATAACAGCAAAAAGACTTTTTGTGAATAAAATATTCGACTCAACCCAGAATTTTATGCCTTCCCCAACCATTTTCTTTTCCAGTGATATGGAGAATAGCGGCGTGTGACGATAATGTTTAATCTCATCAGCGGTGGGGTTCTACAACAGACGATGTAGACTGCCAGATAAACTCGCTAAAACTGCATGTGGACAGCTGAAATACTACTTCTGAATCTTTTAGAGGTCAAAGAAGGCTTCATACGATAAACGGGTAAGTTCTAAGAAATCCACTTGTCAACTCAAGAATGTTGGATATGAGATTACACTGGACTGTTTCATAAGACACAGACTGAAATAATTCAGATATATCTCGTACGCTTGAGTAGTTTTACAGAATAATGAAATGTATGTATCGGTGGGGAGTGATACTGCATAAGTACTCCGATATGCGAAATCCAAATGTGAATTTCCGAAGGAGGGTATTTCTAGCTGTGCGCTACAGGAATGAAACGTCGTGTGGTTTTCAGCGAGTCGGATTCAGGTATCATCTATTTGTTTTTTTTTTACGTGAAATAAGATGACGAAAGCAAATCTAAAGAAAAAGTCTCTTCGAAAGGACATTCAAAGTCTCCATCTCATAGGTCAGAGAAGAAAAGAAAATATATTGAAAATAATGGTACTGTCGTCATTTAATTGATATTCTGTACAGATGATGAAATATCTTCCCGTTCCAATACACAACAAACTATAATCGAAGCTTTAAAGCGACAGCAAGATTTATCTAAGGAAACTAGCAAAAAGAAAAGGGCAAATACTATTGAAGCATATTTCGCTCAACCGGTGAAAGCTAAGAAGAAAGAAGTTTCAGTAGATGATTTCTTTTCGTCATCCTCAACAAAACAAGCCTCTTCGGTAGGTTCTGGGTCATTTTGAATTTTCACTTCTATGTTCACCATCAGGGAACTAACCATAAAAAACTAATAGTTCAAGGCTGTAGAGTTTGTGCAGTTGTACAAACCTGTGTATTTACAGGTACAAGTTTTCCATAATCTTTTAAAAAGCTGACTAAATTGTCTGTTTGAACCGGTAATACAATTGTGAATACAGCCGTATGTTTAACAAAAAGGAATTCATATAAATAAACACGATAGCCCATTTCCATACATATCGTTTCTCTTAACTGGTAACGCCACTATTAATCTTACGTTCAGTGTCAATATTTCCCATACCATTGCTCACAACCTAAAATGCAGAATATAACTGTCTTTCTCGGACTTCTCTATAAATTGACTAACACCAAATTCGTTGGATTCCGGTGTATTAAGACTCAACTTATTTTCAGGAAATCTGACTACTTTAATGCGCGCGAACGTGCAGTCGTAATGAGTGAAGGAACTGACAGAGTGGTGTCCAATGGATAGAGTAAAGAAAAGTCTGGGTGTAATTAATTGACATGGATTTTGTCTCTGTTAAATGTGAGAGGATGATTCTCTACCCTCCCTGTCTTTGAATCAGCGTAGTGAAATAGTCGTGATTGTTGGTTACCTGACTTACTAGGAAGTGGCACCGACGTGAGGCAAGTTAACGGTATTACTAAGCGGAGGTTTTGCATTATTCAGAATGCATGAGATTTCACACCGACTAGGTGTTTTCCCGTCAGTCGAAAGCTGTGGGTTGTGTATAGAAAAGCGCGAGATGATTCTGTTTCCAATGATAAGCATCTTTGTGAGGATATTTTGAGTTGATTTCTGTAATGTTTGAGGAAAGTGTCTCACACGATGAAACTTTAAGTTTTCTTACACTTAGATGACTAGGATGTGTGTTAGGCGATGGTGGTCCAGCTATCCGATGGTTGTTTGGTGGTCTATGGTTAGGGTGATATATTGTTAGGGTTAATTAACTAACTAATTAACTGAGAACATGGCGGAAATGGATGAATTTCGTGGATGTATTTTTGAGTAATACAGAGAATAATGGAGTTTCTTGTTGTGCATTTCATGTCATGACTGGCAGTGATTCTCATTCATCCAGATATATTCACTCGTTGTCACCGAATTTGTAATCATTTTCATTTGATTTTATGAAATCATTGTCTGTCACTTGATGCTTTTGTGATATAATGCAGACATTGTCTGGGTAATATATGCCTTTATGTTTTTGGTAGGTTTAGGCATAAAACACTGTATAGGGGTGGCGGTGGGTGGGTGGATGTAGCATTGCTGTTGTGGCTTGTTTTGTAAGTTTGAATCTGGTTGATGTACAGCTATGAAAAGTGTACTATAGTAATGTGGTGCACTCGTGTTACACCTGAAGATGAGCTGTAGTATGGAGCGTTCAAATAATAACCAACTGGTTTACTAGCTTCAAAGCGTAATCTATAGAGTCGTTGATGGATTTCATCAGGAAGATATTTTAAGGAGGACGTCCTATACTATTACATGAGAGTATAGTTTGTCATTGTTGTTGATTTAAAGTGGAATTGAGAAAGGCTATCATGATATTTCGTGTCATGGCATAATATACACACCTTGAGATTTATTTTGCATGTTTCACTTGTTGAGGTAATTTATATGTTGTTGGTGTTTTTCCTTCGTAGCCTCCACCAAGTGGTCGTAGTACACCCCCACACACGCCACTACAGATAATCCCAGAGTCACCGATGATAGGTGAATCGAGCCTTGTGAGTTTTGGTGGGAAGATTGGGAAGTCCCCTGAGAAGGCGAAGAAGGTTACCGATAATCAAGTTGCATCGAAGGTTAGTTTCATGGTTTTAACAGTTTGAGGATATTTGTGTAGTGGGTATATAATAGTCATCATTATGATAAATTTGTTTTATATTTCCGAGTGAATTGAGAGGGGAAAGATTTTGTTTTTACTGGCTTTTCGCTGTTTGATGCTAATAGCTTTATGAAAGTATTATTAGACCATAATTTACTAAATCTGAGCTTTTATATGACAATTTAATCATCTTTCCTCATCATGGGTTCATTTTTGCGTTGTCAAGTTGGTGATTTGATAAAGGTAACAAAACCAGTTGTAGATTGTTGGATTTGATAAGTGTATAAGAATATGAAAGCAGAGTGTGTTTACATTATGAAACTGCTCATCACTTTCGTGTTGATATTGTCACTTCATGGGGTATTGGGGTGTTGTAAACAGGTCAACTTCTATTTCAGTCCATCATTCCTATTCGAACAATTTGGATTCCGTATGATATGAAGTGCTTCTGATGAAATGAGACGTTCATTGTGATTTCTGAAATTTTTCTGGATGATGATTTCAATATTGTCAAAATCAATTTTGTGGCCTGATTGTGAAGTGTGTAGACCTATGACTGATGATTTCTCAAGCTTTTCTTGTTCAACTGGATTTATATCTCGGTGGTCGAACATATGGTCTACGGTGTTTATTCCTTCTGATTTTGATTTCTCTTTGGCAGTGTTTGTTAGATGTATATCGCATGATATTCCAAGCCTTTCATTTTGTAGACAGAGATAGATAGAGAATCCGTATGGATTTGGTCTTTTTTATGGATAAGTTTGCTTTGTTGTGTGTCTGATGTTTTGAATCAAACTGTGATGTCGTGCTTATTGAGTACTCTTCTGATATCGCCTGACGTCTCTGATCAATGTGGAATGATAGCTGTTGAGGCCCATGTCTTCGGAATACGTTTTTGGCCGTATTTAATGTCAGTGTTGATTTCGTTGATGAAGTTGTTTGGGTGGTTGTTTGTCTTGAGAGTCTCTGTAATGTTTGATATTTCTTCTTTCTTTTCTTCTTCATTTCTTATGGGAGAGTGTGCTCGTCTAAGATGACTTGAAACAACTGATACCTTTTCGCTGATGGGGTGTGATTGTCTGAAATCTAAATATTTGTTGGAGTGGTTTTATCATGCTGAATACAGATATACTAAATTTTCCATTTTCCTCCGTCTTAACTGGCGAGGCGGTCTAGAAATGGTAGTTCGTCGACGTGTGATTCTGCTTCTGAAGTAAACTAGGAGACAGATTGTTTATTTTCTTCAAGAATGAACTGTGTAGATCTCGTTACAGCACTAGAGAAGTATGTTCAACGTATTTTGACCATATTTCAGGAGTGAGTATACTTGGAAAGATGTTATCTTCGAATCTATTCATGAAAAGATCAACGACTGTTGAGGAAACTGGTGAACTCAAAGCAGCACCATTTGTCTGTCTATATAAATTCATTTTTAATGTGAAATAATTACTTTCTTGGCAGAATTTTAAGCTCTTAGTTATTTCACTGGTGTCCAGTGGACATCTCTGTGATAGTGTTGTATCTGATATCAAGACTTCCGGTAATAGGGGTACTAGTATATAGTGAGTTAATATCATAGCTTACGATAATGTCTTCTTTATCGATTTCTCGATGTTCTGTTTGGGATTTGAAATCGTGTAAATCTTTTACAACATTTTAAGTGTCCTTTTGCAATGTAGAATGGGTAGGGAATGAAAGCTGTTTTGTGTTCGTGTTTTTGTAAATGGTGATCGGAAAGTACTACTTGTTAATAATAGCTTTGTTGCAAAGAGTATTTTTGGTAGCGGTATGGAATTTCGAGCATGTATTACACCGTTGCATCTAACTTTCTCATTCGAGGGGTAATAATTAAGACAAGGACATTTACATTGATAATAATGTTCAATGAGATTATGAATGTAAAATTAGGTGAAAGTATTAACAACAATATAATAGTGGAGAAAGTAGGGCCGTTTACATAGAGTTCCGTAGTGAGTTGGTAATGTCCTGTCTTTAAGACTTTTGGCACGACATAAAGTGTGTGCTAATATCAGGTGTTGTAGTGTTTTTTTTTGTAATTAGCCGTCCGAGTATGTGATGTTCTGTAGTCGGTGTTTGTAGTTCTATCTGATGAGATTGAAGATAAATATGAGTATGTTATTTTGAGTGGTGGATGATGTGGTCTGAATTGATTTGAATTTCATAGTCTTCCAGTATAAGCTGAGTTTATTTCTCGAGGAGTTTGCTGTTTCATTGAGTAATTCAACTGTTCGGCCCCTCGAGTTCCTCTTGCAAGTTTGTAAACTCTTGTTTGACCATATTTGTCATATTAGTAGGAGCAGTATAATGTTGGAGAACAAATAATAAATCCATATTTTTTCTGACTTTTTGCGTTTGGAACCAATTTCATGGTGTTTTGTTGTAAGAGTGAATGTACAGAAATCCTTGGGAGTAGATTTGGCGTTTGTCACCCTGATGTGGTACTTTTGTCATGTAGAAGTTTGATGAAGCTGAATTATGGTCATTTCCTTCGTCCACCGATTTAAACAAATTGTATCCCATGCTGACGAAACTGTGTATTCGTATATGTTTCATGATTCCTATGAAAAATCAGTGTTTGAAATGTTTGTGGGAATGACAATGGTAGACGTTTCTGTGATTTGTTCGGGGTGGAAGTTTGGGGAGATTTTGAAGAGCTTAGTTTACTATTTCTCACGAAGTTCATAGTATGTAGCTTTTGTTGTAGATTGTTTCGTTCACACTGATGTTTTGTTTTCGTGATATAGTTTATTCGTAACTGTACTGATTCTGACTGAATTACTTAGCGTTGGTTGTGATTGTAGGCATTTCTAAGACTTAAAGAGTTGAGGGGAAGACTGGTAAGATCTTCGATGATATCAGATCACCATGAATTTGAAAACTTTTTAAGTTAACGAAAAAGCCAGTGTGAAAAATCAATTTGACTGGCTTTGAAGGTGGACTCGTAAAGTTAGAGATAATGTAACTGTAAGTTAATTCAGTTTAGGAGTCGTCACTAGACTGTTTAAATGGTGGAGAAATTTCTAATTTCAGCTATCCATATCTGTCCATATCGTGGTTCACCTAAATCGGAATTGAGTGGTGAGTTTGATGGTTGTTCAGTGGTCATTTACACTAACAGTTTTTCAAGAGTACTATGTAGGTTGACTAGAATATTTATCATCGCATGAATTTGATGCTTGTTAGTTAGCTGAGTTTAATACGAGCTGTTTACTGCTTTGGACAATAAAGCAGTAATACGCATAAGCGTTGACTCTACTGCCTTATATGTTTTTAAGTATTGGTTTGTAAGGAGTTTGTTTGATAATTTGGAGGATTTCATCATAAGCTGACATCGGTTAGAGAACCATTGGAAAACGTGGGAGTATTGTTCAGCTGTTTCGTCCTAGTTTGCTTGCGTGCTGATGGAAAGTCCCGAGAAAGGCGAAACGGCTGTCCAGTATTCCCAGGTTTTCCAGTGGTTCTTTGACCGATGTCAGCTAATGATGAAATCCTCCATCTTAAATGTTTTCAGCAAAAATCGTGAGATGCAAAAGTGATGTTGCATATTGAAGGGAATAAATCCTTAAAGTTGGTAAAGCTACATGGTAAATTAGGTTTTTGGAGAAGGAATCTGTTGACACGTTTGAGACACTGATTACATTTTGGTTCACGGATTTCTTAAGTCTTTGAATTGTTAGTCGTGAAGTGCAACATTGTATTTTGGTGAAAGAAATTTAGCATTTGTTGGTAGATAAAATTCTTGTATCCTAATATTATCATGACAACTTGTGCTCTTTGGGAGCTGCTAGTTTAATCGCTGGAACATAGATTTATTTTTGACCTTCTAGAAGTGTGATTCATCGAAACGAGGTTATTAAAAATTTCTACTTGTTTCCGCATTTAATTGATGCTCTACCTATTTGTGTGTAAGTGTTAGAATAGTTGATAAACCCACAGACATGAAGTTTTTCTTAACTAATAGTGTAAGATAGCTTGTATTAAACAGGTGAATTACTCGACTCATGCACCGTGGTTGTAAATGTACACATTAAACTATTCAAAAGTTAGTTATTTATCGAGATAATGTCGTTTTAAGCATAAAAATAGCGCAAGAATCTGATTGTATGCCTGAAGTCAACTGGCCTATGTGAATATGTATGATTTTATGTTAAACGTGCCAAGACCCTTTGCTTCTTACATTAAGTTGATTAAGTTACAAGTTAACTTGTGGCTATCTCAGTTAATGAATATTATGGCATTACTTATCGGAAATTTACTAACGCCACACATTTCTTGAAATTAGGGAAAAAAAGTAGTGAAATTGTCTAAATCAAGAGTAATCACTCGGCATGTTGAGTATTTTGTCCTAATAAACATTTGTTAGCATCAAATGTCAGGATGCCAATATTTATTCAGATCTACTGAGGTATTCTCAAAAGAACGAAGGGACGATCTGAAAAAACACAGATGTTGAGTAACTTCTGTCGGTATACGATTAGAATGTTTGTGAGGACACTGTAAGTAGTCGTTCCTTTGACCCACAGCTGTACTGGTGTTGCTACTATCAAACGTATTAATGGATGATATGTGAACACTGATACTCTGACAACTGGAGGCATGAGAACTTCAAAAGTGCTTAAACATATTCTCAATTAAATTATCTACACTGCAAGGTAGTTAGTGGGAAATTAAGGTGTATGTCAACAGACAAGGTTACAAAGGTAGGCGAAGCTGATTGTGATGACCATTGGGGCATCAGCTAAACTAAAAGACCATCTTAGATCATAGGGTCCACATTTGTCCAGACTTGACATATGTCGTGAAAAACCGAGACAAAGGAAAACCCATGGTTGGAATTCGCATTATTCTACAAATTTGAAAGTGGCATATTAGAAATGCGTCTCACGCTCTGTTCCTCGTTTTACTGGCCAATATTGTGTAACCAGTGTGTATGAGCTTAGAACTCTGAGAAATTATGTTATACTAGTTAAAACCTCCACTCAAACTTGTGTATGTGTAAGGGTTTATGGAAGGTTTTTATCCCGGTTGAACACAATCATTAGTGTCAACTACAAATGTAGGATATTACTGTCTTTGTTGAATTTCTTCGTTAGTACAGTAACAGCACTTTCGTTTGATTCCGATGTTATTAAGACTCGACTTATTTCTAGGAAATCAGACTACTTTAATGCGCGCGAACATACAGTTGGTATGAGTGAAAGAACTGACAGAATGGTGTCCAATGGATAGAGTAAAGAAAAGTCTGGGTGTAATTAATTGACATGGATTTTGTCTCTGTTAAATGTGAGAGGATGATTCTCTACCCTACCTGTCTTTGAATCAGTGTAATGAAATAGTCGTGATTGTTGGTTACCTGACTTACTAGGAAGTGACCCCGACTTGAGGCAAGTTAACGGTATTACTAAGCGGAGGTTTTGCATTATTCAGAATGCATGAGATTTCACACTGACTAGGTGTTTTCCCGTCAGTCGAAAGCTGTGGGTTGTGTATAGAAAAGCGCGAGATGATTCTGTTTCCATTTTTTTCTGGTGTTTTTCTTTCGTAGCCGCCGCCAAGTGGTCGTAGTACACCCCCACACACGCCACTACAGATAATCCCAGAGTCACCGATGATAAGTGAATCGAGCCTTGTGAGTTTTGGTGGGAAGATTGGGAAGTCCCCTGAGAAGGCGAAGAAGGTTACCGATAATCAAGTTGCATCGAAGGTTAGTTTCATGGTTTTAACAGTTTGAGGATATTTGTGTAGTGGGTATATAATAGTCATCATTATGATAAATTTGTTTTATATTTCCGAGTGAATTGAGAGGGGAAAGATTTTGTTTTTACTGGCTTTTCACTGTTTGATGCTAATAGCTTTATGAAAGTATTATTAGACCATAATTTACTAAATCTGAGCTTTTATATGACAATTTAATCATCTTTCCTCATCATGGGTTCATTTTTGCGTTGTCAAGTTGGTGATTTGATAAAGGTAACAAAACCAGTTGTAGATTGTTGGGTTTGATAAGTGTATAAAAATATGAAAGCAGAGTGTGTTTACATTATGAAACTGCTCATCACTTTCGTGTTGATATTGTCACTTCATGGGGTATTGGGGTGTTGTAAACAGGTTAACTTCTATTTCAGTCCATCATTCCTATTCGAACAATTTGGATTCCATATGATATGGGAAGCATCGTTTCAACTACAGGCGGAACTGACGAGGTTATCAAAGCCAGATTCGGAAAAGCAAAACAGGCTTGAGTCTGTATGGAGGTCAACATCACTCAGCATCAAAAATAAGATCCAGATTTTCAACTGCAATGTGAAGTCAATACTACTATACAGATGAGAGACTTGAACTGCGTGTCAAAGAGCACCTCAAACAAACTACAGACCTTCATTAACAGCTGTCTTCGCTCAATACTCAAGGTCAGGTGGCCAGAAAAGATCAGCAACAGGGATCTCTGGCAATGAGCGAACCAACCAGGAACCGATTGTGAAACAAATAGGCAGGAAGAAATGGAGATGGATTGGCCATTCACTGAGGAAACCATCAAGTGACATCACTAGACAAGCTATTGCTCGAGTGGAACCCGAAAGAGAGGCGGCGAGTTGGTCATCCAAAGGTGATTTGGAGGAGGTCATGTGAAGAGGAGATGAAAGCATGTGGACAGACCTGGAGCGGAGTGAAAATGTTCGCAGAAAACAGAAGGGAATGGAGACGCGCAGCTGAAGCCCTACGTTCGTCGAGGAATTAAAGGATATAATAATAATAATAATATGGATTCCTTCTGATGAAATGAGACGTTCATTGTGATTTCCGAAATTTTTCTGGATGATGATTTCAATATTGTCAAAATCAATTTTGTGGCCTGATTGTGAAGTGTGTAGACCTATGACTGATGATTTCTCAAGCTTTTCTTGTTCAACTGGATTTATATCTCGGTGGTCGAACATATGGTCTACGGTGTTTATTCCTTCTGATTTTGATTTCTCTTTGGCAGTGTTTGTTAGATGTATATCGCATGATATTCCAAGCCTTTCATTTTGTAGACAGAGATAGATAGAGAATCCGTATGGATTTGGTCTTTTTTATGGATAAGTTTGCTTTGTTGTGTGTCTGATGTTTTGAATCAAACTGTGATGTCGTGCTTATTGAGTACTCTTCTGATATCGCCTGACGTCTCTGATCAATGTGGAATGATAGCTGTTGAGGCCCATGTCTTCGGAATACGTTTTTGGCCGTATTTAATGTCAGTGTTGATTTCGTTGATGAAGTTGTTTGGGTGGTTGTTTGTCTTGAGAGTCTCTGTAATGTTTGATATTTCTTCTTTCTTTTCTTCTTCATTTCTTATGGGAGAGTGTGCTCGTCTAAGATGACTTGAAACAACTGATACCTTTTCGCTGATGGGGTGTGATTGTCTGAAATCTAAATATTTGTTGGAGTGGTTTTATCATGCTGAATACAGATATACTAAATTTTCCATTTTCCTCCGTCTTAACTGGCGAGGCGGTCTAGAAATGGTAGTTCGTCGACGTGTGATTCTGCTTCTGAAGTAAACTAGGAGACAGATTGTTTATTTTCTTCAAGAATGAACTGTGTAGATCTCGTTACAGCACTAGAGAAGTATGTTCAACGTATTTTGACCATATTTCAGGAGTGAGTATACTTGGAAAGATGTTATCTTCGAATCTATTCATGAAAAGATCAACGACTGTTGAGGAAACTGGTGAACTCAAAGCAGCACCATTTGTCTGTCTATATAAATTCATTTTTAATGTGAAATAATTACTTTCTTGGCAGAATTTTAAGCTCTTAGTTATTTCACTGGTGTCCAGTGGACATCTCTGTGATAGTGTTGTATCTGATATCAAGACTTCCGGTAATAGGGGTACTAGTATATAGTGAGTTAATATCATAGCTTACGATAATGTCTTCTTTATCAATTTCTCGATGTTCTGTTTGGGATTTGAAATCGTGTAAATCTTTTACAACATTTTAAGTTTCCTTTTGCAATGTAGAATGGGTAGGGAATGAAAGCTGTTTTGTGTTCGTGTTTTTGTAAATGGTGATCGGAAAGTACTACTTGTTAATAATAGCTTTGTTGCAAAGAGTATTTTTGGTAGCGGTATGGAATTTCGAGCATGTATTACACCGTTGCATCTAACTTTCTCATTCGAGGGGTAATAATTAAGACAAGGACATTTACATTGATAATAATGTTCAATGAGATTATGAATGTAAAATTAGGTGAAAGTATTAACAACAATATAATAGTGGAGAAAGTAGGGCCGTTTACATAGAGTTCCGTAGTGAGTTGGTAATGTCCTGTCTTTAAGACTTTTGGCACGACATAAAGTGTGTGCTAATATCAGGTGTTGTAGTGTTTTTTTTTGTAATTAGCCGTCCGAGTATGTGATGTTCTGTAGTCGGTGTTTGTAGTTCTATCTGATGAGATTGAAGATAAATATGAGTATGTTATTTTGAGTGGTGGATGATGTGGTCTGAATTGATTTGAATTTCATAGTCTTCCAGTATAAGCTGAGTTTATTTCTCGAGGAGTTTGCTGTTTCATTGAGTAATTCAACTGTTCGGCCCCTCGAGTTCCTCTTGCAAGTTTGTAAACTCTTGTTTGACCATATTTGTCATATTAGTAGGAGCAGTATAATGTTGGAGAACAAATAATAAATCCATATTTTTTCTGACTTTTTGCGTTTGGAACCAATTTCATGGTGTTTTGTTGTAAGAGTGAATGTACAGAAATCCTTGGGAGTAGATTTGGCGTTTGTCACCCTGATGTGGTACTTTTGTCATGTAGAAGTTTGATGAAGCTGAATTATGGTCATTTCCTTCGTCCACCGATTTAAACAAATTGTATCCCATGCTGACGAAACTGTGTATTCGTATATGTTTCATGATTCCTATGAAAAATCAGTGTTTGAAATGTTTGTGGGAATGACAATGGTAGACGTTTCTGTGATTTGTTCGGGGTGGAAGTTTGGGGAGATTTTGAAGAGCTTAGTTTACTATTTCTCACGAAGTTCATAGTATGTAGCTTTTGTTGTAGATTGTTTCGTTCACACTGATGTTTTGTTTTCGTGATATAGTTTATTCGTAACTGTACTGATTCTGACTGAATTACTTAGCGTTGGTTGTGATTGTAGGCATTTCTAAGACTTAAAGAGTTGAGGGGAAGACTGGTAAGATCTTCGATGATATCAGATCACCATGAATTTGAAAACTTTTTAAGTTAACGAAAAAGCCAGTGTGAAAAATCAATTTGACTGGCTTTGAAGGTGGACTCGTAAAGTTAGAGATAATGTAACTGTAAGTTAATTCAGTTTAGGAGTCGTCACTAGACTGTTTAAATGGTGGAGAAATTTCTAATTTCAGCTATCCATATCTGTCCATATCGTGGTTCACCTAAATCGGAATTGAGTGGTGAGTTTGATGGTTGTTCAGTGGTCATTTACACTAACAGTTTTTCAAGAGTACTATGTAGGTTGACTAGAATATTTATCATCGCATGAATTTGATGCTTGTTAGTTAGCTGAGTTTAATACGAGCTGTTTACTGCTTTGGACAATAAAGCAGTAATACGCATAAGCGTTGACTCTACTGCCTTATATGTTTTTAAGTATTGGTTTGTAAGGAGTTTGTTTGATAATTTGGAGGATTTCATCATAAGCTGACATCGGTTAGAGAACCATTGGAAAACGTGGGAGTATTGTTCAGCTGTTTCGTCCTAGTTTGCTTGCGTGCTGATGGAAAGTCCCGAGAAAGGCGAAACGGCTGTCCAGTATTCCCAGGTTTTCCAGTGGTTCTTTGACCGATGTCAGCTAATGATGAAATCCTCCATCTTAAATGTTTTCAGCAAAAATCGTGAGATGCAAAAGTGATGTTGCATATTGAAGGGAATAAATCCTTAAAGTTGGTAAAGCTACATGGTAAATTAGGTTTTTGGAGAAGGAATCTGTTGACACGTTTGAGACACTGATTACATTTTGGTTCACGGATTTCTTAAGTCTTTGAATTGTTAGTCGTGAAGTGCAACATTGTATTTTGGTGAAAGAAATTTAGCATTTGTTGGTAGATAAAATTCTTGTATCCTAATATTATCATGACAACTTGTGCTCTTTGGGAGCTGCTAGTTTAATCGCTGGAACATAGATTTATTTTTGACCTTCTAGAAGTGTGATTCATCGAAACGAGGTTATTAAAAATTTCTACTTGTTTCCGCATTTAATTGATGCTCTACCTATTTGTGTGTAAGTGTTAGAATAGTTGATAAACCCACAGACATGAAGTTTTTCTTAACTAATAGTGTAAGATAGCTTGTATTAAACAGGTGAATTACTCGACTCATGCACCGTGGTTGTAAATGTACACATTAAACTATTCAAAAGTTAGTTATTTATCGAGATAATGTCGTTTTAAGCATAAAAATAGCGCAAGAATCTGATTGTATGCCTGAAGTCAACTGGCCTATGTGAATATGTATGATTTTATGTTAAACGTGCCAAGACCCTTTGCTTCTTACATTAAGTTGATTAAGTTACAAGTTAACTTGTGGCTATCTCAGTTAATGAATATTATGGCATTACTTATCGGAAATTTACTAACGCCACACATTTCTTGAAATTAGGGAAAAAAAGTAGTGAAATTGTCTAAATCAAGAGTAATCACTCGGCATGTTGAGTATTTTGTCCTAATAAACATTTGTTAGCATCAAATGTCAGGATGCCAATATTTATTCAGATCTACTGAGGTATTCTCAAAAGAACGAAGGGACGATCTGAAAAAACACAGATGTTGAGTAACTTCTGTCGGTATACGATTAGAATGTTTGTGAGGACACTGTAAGTAGTCGTTCCTTTGACCCACAGCTGTACTGGTGTTGCTACTATCAAACGTATTAATGGATGATATGTGAACACTGATACTCTGACAACTGGAGGCATGAGAACTTCAAAAGTGCTTAAACATATTCTCAATTAAATTATCTACACTGCAAGGTAGTTAGTGGGAAATTAAGGTGTATGTCAACAGACAAGGTTACAAAGGTAGGCGAAGCTGATTGTGATGACCATTGGGGCATCAGCTAAACTAAAAGACCATCTTAGATCATAGGGTCCACATTTGTCCAGACTTGACATATGTCGTGAAAAACCGAGACAAAGGAAAACCCATGGTTGGAATTCGCATTATTCTACAAATTTGAAAGTGGCATATTAGAAATGCGTCTCACGCTCTGTTCCTCGTTTTACTGGCCAATATTGTGTAACCAGTGTGTATGAGCTTAGAACTCTGAGAAATTATGTTATACTAGTTAAAACCTCCACTCAAACTTGTGTATGTGTAAGGGTTTATGGAAGGTTTTTATCCCGGTTGAACACAATCATTAGTGTCAACTACAAATGTAGGATATTACTGTCTTTGTTGAATTTCTTCGTTAGTACAGTAACAGCACTTTCGTTTGATTCCGATGTTATTAAGACTCGACTTATTTCTAGGAAATCAGACTACTTTAATGCGCGCGAACATACAGTTGGTATGAGTGAAAGAACTGACAGAATGGTGTCCAATGGATAGAGTAAAGAAAAGTCTGGGTGTAATTAATTGACATGGATTTTGTCTCTGTTAAATGTGAGAGGATGATTCTCTACCCTACCTGTCTTTGAATCAGTGTAATGAAATAGTCGTGATTGTTGGTTACCTGACTTACTAGGAAGTGACCCCGACTTGAGGCAAGTTAACGGTATTACTAAGCGGAGGTTTTGCATTATTCAGAATGCATGAGATTTCACACTGACTAGGTGTTTTCCCGTCAGTCGAAAGCTGTGGGTTGTGTATAGAAAAGCGCGAGATGATTCTGTTTCCATTTTTTTCTGGTGTTTTTCTTTCGTAGCCGCCGCCAAGTGGTCGTAGTACACCCCCACACACGCCACTACAGATAATCCCAGAGTCACCGATGATAAGTGAATCGAGCCTTGTGAGTTTTGGTGGGAAGATTGGGAAGTCCCCTGAGAAGGCGAAGAAGGTTACCGATAATCAAGTTGCATCGAAGGTTAGTTTCATGGTTTTAACAGTTTGAGGATATTTGTGTAGTGGGTATATAATAGTCATCATTATGATAAATTTGTTTTATATTTCCGAGTGAATTGAGAGGGGAAAGATTTTGTTTTTACTGGCTTTTCACTGTTTGATGCTAATAGCTTTATGAAAGTATTATTAGACCATAATTTACTAAATCTGAGCTTTTATATGACAATTTAATCATCTTTCCTCATCATGGGTTCATTTTTGCGTTGTCAAGTTGGTGATTTGATAAAGGTAACAAAACCAGTTGTAGATTGTTGGGTTTGATAAGTGTATAAAAATATGAAAGCAGAGTGTGTTTACATTATGAAACTGCTCATCACTTTCGTGTTGATATTGTCACTTCATGGGGTATTGGGGTGTTGTAAACAGGTTAACTTCTATTTCAGTCCATCATTCCTATTCGAACAATTTGGATTCCATATGATATGGGAAGCATCGTTTCAACTACAGGCGGAACTGACGAGGTTATCAAAGCCAGATTCGGAAAAGCAAAACAGGCTTGAGTCTGTATGGAGGTCAACATCACTCAGCATCAAAAATAAGATCCAGATTTTCAACTGCAATGTGAAGTCAATACTACTATACAGATGAGAGACTTGAACTGCGTGTCAAAGAGCACCTCAAACAAACTACAGACCTTCATTAACAGCTGTCTTCGCTCAATACTCAAGGTCAGGTGGCCAGAAAAGATCAGCAACAGGGATCTCTGGCAATGAGCGAACCAACCAGGAACCGATTGTGAAACAAATAGGCAGGAAGAAATGGAGATGGATTGGCCATTCACTGAGGAAACCATCAAGTGACATCACTAGACAAGCTATTGCTCGAGTGGAACCCGAAAGAGAGGCGGCGAGTTGGTCATCCAAAGGTGATTTGGAGGAGGTCATGTGAAGAGGAGATGAAAGCATGTGGACAGACCTGGAGCGGAGTGAAAATGTTCGCAGAAAACAGAAGGGAATGGAGACGCGCAGCTGAAGCCCTACGTTCGTCGAGGAATTAAAGGATATAATAATAATAATAATATGGATTCCTTCTGATGAAATGAGACGTTCATTGTGATTTCCGAAATTTTTCTGGATGATGATTTCAATATTGTCAAAATCAATTTTGTGGCCTGATTGTGAAGTGTGTAGACCTATGACTGATGATTTCTCAAGCTTTTCTTGTTCAACTGGATTTATATCTCGGTGGTCGAACATATGGTCTACGGTGTTTATTCCTTCTGATTTTGATTTCTCTTTGGCAGTGTTTGTTAGATGTATATCGCATGATATTCCAAGCCTTTCATTTTGTAGACAGAGTTAGATAGAGAATCCTTATGGATTTGGTCTTTTTTATGGATAAGTTTGCTTTGTTGTGTGTCTGATGTTTTGAATCTAACTGTGATGTCGTGCTTATTGAGTACTCTTCTGATATCGTCTGACGTCTCTGATCTATGTGGAGTGATAGCTGTTGAGGCCCATGTCTTCGGAATACGTTTTTGGCCGTATTTGATGTCAGTGTTGATTTCGTTGATGAAGTTGTTTGGGTGGTTGTTTGTCTTGAGAGTCTCTGTAATGTTTGATATTTCTTCTTTCTTTTCTTCTTCATTTCTTATGGGAGAGTGTGCTCGTCTAAGATGACTTGAAACAACTGATACCTTTTCGCTGATGGGGTGTGATTGTCTGAAATCTAAATATTTGTTGGAGTGGTTTTTTCATGCTGAATACAGATATACTAAATTTTCCATTTTCCCCCGTCTTAACTAGCGAGGCGGTCTAGAAATGGTAGTTCGTCGACGTGTGATTCTGCTTCTGAAGTGAACTAGGATGGTCGGGAGTGGGTGTCTTGCGCTGCGGGTTGGCCACCCCTCCGCACACCTCTTGAAATGCTCCCATATGACCGGGCGTCTTACATAGCCTCTCCTGAGGAAGTCCTACTCACTGCCTTCACGTGGCGGAGGTGTTTCTCACCAAAGTGAGAGGGCGAAAGCGGATGCCCGGCGCTCTCCACCGGGTTGACTGTCCATTGGATGACGGTCTAGGGGAGATGGCTAAACCCTGATTCCAAACCTCCAACGACTGGCGTATGAAGCTCACTGGAGCTCACCGGCAGACGTATGGACAAAGGGCTTGTTGGATGTCCTGGATGTCTGGCCCCATTCAAAAAGGCGTATGAACCGAACTCCGGTCACCGGCTGCCAATGGATAGTGGACTCCTTACTCCACTCCTACTGCCTTGTAGGTCACACTTGGCTGTGTGAAGGCTAGAGCTGCACTCTCAAACAAAAGGCCGAGCGATGCTGGGGACATCACTCGTACCAAATTCCCATGAAACTTCATGAACTCTCTTACAAATTACCGCGCCTGGGCAGCGATGATTCGAGACGTTCATGAAGCCGGCTCATCCTCCCGTAGGAGATAGTCGAAGTAAAGTAAAGTAAGTAGGAGATAGATTGTTTATTTTCTTCAAGAATGAACTGTGTAGATCTCGTTACAGCACTAGAGAAGTATGTTCAACGTATTTTGACCATATTTCAGGAGTGAGTATACTTGGAAAGATGTTATCTTCGAATCTATTCATGAAAAGATCAACGACTATTGAGGAAACTGGTGAACTCAAAGCAGCACCATTTGTCTGTCTATATAAATTCATTTTTAATGTGAAATAATTACTTTCTTGGCAGAATTTTAAGCTCTTAGTTATTTCACTGGTGTCCAGTGGACATCTCTGTGATAGTGTTGTATCTGATATCAAGACTTCCGGTAATAGGGGTACTAGTATATAGTGAGTTAATATCATAGCTTACGATAATGTCTTCTTTATCAATTTCTCGATGTTCTGTTTGGGATTTGAAATCGTGTAAATCTTTTACAACATTTTAAGTGTCCTTTTGCAATGTAGAATGGGTAGGGAATGAAAGCTGTTTTGTGTTCATGTTTTTGTAAATGGTGATCGGAAAGTACTACTTGTTAATAATAGCTTTGTTGCAAAGAGTATTTTTGGTAGCGGTATGGAATTTCGAGCATGTATTACACCGTTGCATCTAACTTTCTCATTCGAGGGGTAATAATTAAGACAAGGACATTTACATTGATAATAATGTTCAATGAGATTATGAATGTGAAATTAGGTGAAAGTATTAACAACAATATAATAGTGGAGAAAGTAGGGCCGTTTACATAGAGTTCCATAGTGAGGTGGTAATGTCCTGTCTTTAAGACTTTTGGCACGACATAAAGTGTGTGCTAATATCAGGTGTTGTAGTGTTTTTTTGTAATTAGCCGTCCGAGTATGTGATGTTCTGTAGTCGGTGTTTGTAGTTCTATCTGATGAGATTGAAGATAAATATGAGTATGTTATTTTGAGTGGTGGATGATGTGGTCTGAAGTGATTTGAATTTTATAGTTTTCCTGTATTAGCTTAGTTTATGACTGGAGGTATTTGCTGTCTGTCATTGATTGGCTGAATTCTCGGATGCGCTTGCTCATTGATTAATGTTCACTGCGTTTGTTTTTGTCAAGTCATTGGGATTGTTGAATGTACGCTGACACGTGTTTGTATCTGATAATTAAGAAATATTATGTACTGAAATTTGGCTTTACTCCACTGATGTTCTGTGGTGAAAATTTGTCATGTTGGACTATTGAAAAGAGTAGTTTTTGTTGATAGATGTATTTTATCGATATAAAGTATTGAAGCATGTTTAGAGACGTTGATTATATTCATAGTTGAAGAATATTTGCTAAACTTTGTGTTTTGAACATTCACGTCCATACTTTGAGAGTGATCTCAACGATTGTTTTGATTTAAGAATGGTTAAGCAGTGTGTGTATATCGAACTCGGTCTTATTGAAGTAGATTGTAAAAGCAGTGATTAATATACACAAAATATGTGATTGATTTGAAATGATTTGTCTATTGAGCTGAGTTTTTGTTTGTTTCTGCGGACGAAGTAAGTAATAAAACGGATTTATTGAACACAGATTACCATGAAGTACTTACTTTCAATTAACATTTCAAATCAACTTTATTCTGGTTCTTAGGCTGAAAACACAGTCTTTACTTGTTGAGGCGGGAAACTGTGCCAATTGGCTTTGCTTAATGTATACGATGAAATAATGCAATACCAAATAATTGTTATCTTTTAGCCTAGTGGAACATCTAGTTTGCAGACTTCTCTCAAAACATTCAAAACTATCTTAACTACACTGTTTAACGTTTGACAATGAGTTGTTTATGTATTATTTTGAATGTTCAGAAATTATAAATAAAGTTAATGTTGTTAACATAAACAGTAAAAAAAGTGCTTAATGCATCCAGAAGTTTTCATGAAATCAATACTTTTTTTTATGGTATATATCTTTTGAAAAACGTAAGCTACGTGGGTAATGATAATACCCATAGTTCACTGCTTTTCTTTTCTGTCGCTCGTTTAGGCTAATGATTCTCTCAATGATAGTACTGAGCATACTACAAAAGGTCATAAGTCTTTTTGGGCTTATAAAGCTCGTGATGGTCCTCGAAATCTTGGTTCAAGAGAAATTCCTAAAGTAAGTTTCTTTCTTTTGAAATAATAACACCCAAGTATATTGGATGAAAATACAGATTTTTGGTTCCTTATCCGAAGTCTGGGTCTGGAGACAACTTATTGAGTTTACTAATTTACACTCGAATTCAATATGCTATAGTGATCATAGGATAACAAGAGAGAATAAGAGACTTGGTAACGGACTTTTACTAAGGGAAAACATCATATATGTTTTTGCATTCTTAGCCACCTTCAAGTTCGGCTGAGTCAAAGGAGAATAAATTGTTCTGATTGGTTGTTGGTGGATTGGCCCAAGGTCAAACAAGTTGTCCAGTGAGGTTATTCCATGTCCACAATGTAGAGTTTAAATCCATATTTGATGAATAAACAATTGTAGCTTCTCAGCCAGCCATTTACCTACAATGTTGGTTTCAATTTTGACTGCTTCGTATCAACCTGCATCGTGCTACAATAGTCTCTCCTTCATTTCCTAACAATTGTCATTGACTAAGGTGATCGGAACATGTTTCAATTTTAACGTCTAATCATTATTAATATAAGTAAATATGATGTTTAGTAAAGTGCACTACTTGTATATTACACAGTTCGGAGTGGAATTTCACCATGGTTTCACTTGGGAACATAAAATATGACTTCACAATATATGAATAGCTTGGTATTAGAAATAGTATCACAAGAAAGTAAACAGAGATGCAAAGTATTGCACGCTACTGATTAGTATTGGTAATTGGGAACCGTTTACGTCAATCAGTAGTGCTTGCAAGCCATATATTGTGACCTGAATATTTTAGTCATCCAAATGGAAATCGTGATGAATTTCCATCTCAAACTATGTTATTTGCAAACAGTGAATTCCTTCCAGTATATTACCTGTTCCGCCAACTATGTAGCGCGAAACTCAGGTTCTTTCATCTAAATCAGTAATTGGCAAAACGATCTTCCAGTGTTTAGATCACGTCGGTTTGGCTGGCATTGATTACTGATTTTCACCTGCTCATATCGACTAGTAGTAAATATCCAAAGCCTCAGGATGGTCGGGGGTGGGTGCCTTGCGCTGCGGGTTGGCCACCCCTCCGCACACCTCTTGAAATGCTCCCATATGACCGGGCGTCTTACATAGCCTCTCCTGAGGAAGTCCTACTCACAGCCTTCACGTGGCGGAGGTGTTTCTCACCAAAGTGAGAGGGCGAAAGCGGATGCCCGGCGCTCTCCACCGGGTTGACTGTCCATTGGATGACGGTCTAGGGGAGATGGCTAAACCCTGATTCCAAACCTCCAACGACTGGCGTATGAAGCTCACTGGAGCTCACCGGCAGACGTATGGACAAAGGGCTTGTTGGATGTCCTGGATGTCTGGCCCCATTCAAAAAGGCGTATGAACCGAACTCCGGTCACCGGCTGCCAATGGATAATGGACTCCTTACTCCACTCCTACTGCCTTGTAGGTCACACTTGGCTGTGTAAAGGCTAGAGCTGCACTCTCAAACAAAAGGCCGAGCGATGCTGGGGACATTACTCGTACCAAATTCCCATGAAACTTCATGAACTCTCTTACAAATTGCCGCGCCTGGGCAGCGATGATTCGAGACGTTCATGAAGCCGGCTCATCCTCCCGTAGGAGATAGCCGAAGTAAAGTAAAGTAAGTAAGTATCCAAAAGGGAAACTCATGGAAGCCTTTGAAGTGAAGACAGGAGTAAGGCAAGGCTGCATACTATTCTGGATGATATTCCCTATTGTGGTGGACTGGAATATACGGAACACCATACGTTGGGGGCGAGCAGACAGGAATACGTGGAACCGATGGGGAGAATCAAGAAGATCTGGACTTCGCGTATGATTTATGATTAACGTCAGACGAACTCGAGGACTTACAGGCGAAAGCCAATAAATTGTCAGAAGAGGCAGGTAACAAAGATAAGACTTCAAGTGAACTTAAAGAGGATGAAGATAACCAACCAGCGAAAAAAGGCACCAATCACTATAAACGGAATAAATTTCAAAGTGGTTACTTCCTTTACTTATCTAGGGAGTATCGTTTTAATTAAATGCATCCGGCACGGATGAAGGTGTCAAAATCAGAATCGGGAGGTCAAGACAGAGAATCACCACTCTGAGATCAGTTTCAAATTCTTCTGCATTCAAAATCAAGAACAAGACTCAATTTTCAACACTAATGTCAAGTTAGTCAGTTTTCCTGTATAGGTCAGAAACTTGGCTCATACGTCACGTAAAGCATTTCCAACAGTTTGCAGACCATTATCAACCTTCTTTGGCTCCATATTGAAGATCAAAGGAGCAAAAAGAATTAGCAAGAAGAAACTCTGGGAACGAACCAACCAAAAACCTTCTGTTCAACAAAAAATGCCGGAGAAAATAGAGATGGGTCAACCACATGTTGAGGAGATCGTCGAATAGTATCGCGCGCCATGCCACCCAAATGGAGGGCGATGAGTTGCCCGTTGGTTTGAGGTTGACATGGAAGAGATCATGTGTGAAGGAGATGAGAGCCTATGGACAGTCGTGAGGCCAACTAAACAGGACTACAGAGAACAGGGCAAAATAGAGATGTTCTTTTGAAGTCTTATGCCCCATTCGGCACCCAAAGCAATAGTAATGATCACCTTGCCATTATGATGTTTGTTTAAGATACGGAATATTTTTTAATTTCACACTGATCAACGAAAAGTACAATGGTAGAAAAAGTTAAATAAAATGACTAACGTCCACAAGATTACCTAAATTAGATAAGGTTTAATGTACAGAAACGCTAAATAAAATTACACGAAGTTATTTGATCATAAGTGTGTAATTGGTATGCTTTCCAATCTAGATGTTTCATTTATATGAACCTATACATTATTATTTTTAAACATTAAGGTGTTAAGTAATCAAGTCATGTAATACCTATTTAAATGTTATTACTTCCCAAGTTTTTATTCCTTCACTTATCACACTACTTCTTTCACTCTTTGTAACCTTCCAGACGCTTTAAGTCCTAATATTTTTCCTATGTTGTTATTCTTTAACCTATACATTTCTGCTTATTGTAATTGACTTTCAATATGGAACGTTGAACGGAAATGCAGTAGTTTAAGTCGCTACGTAAAGACAGAAGACAAGGTTCAGGCAACAGATCGTTTATTGAGAAATTGAAGAGATATTTATAGATTTTTATGTACATTACTATTCGTTATTGTTAGAAGAGAAGCAACGTCTTCTGACTTGTTGTTTTCTTGCTGAAGGTTATTCCGTCATCTCTTTGTGGCCGTTTCTTAGACACTCCGGTCTATGAATCTTATCTGCCCATGTTAAGTCTGCTGTGATTGGTTAAGTTCCCCAAGGTTGGGCTTTGTCCTTGTCTTTTCTCATGACCCCGATTTGGAATGTAAAACAGTGACGTTAATTGTTGCTTTACAATTTTAGCTTGCAGACAGCTCCCATCACAGCTACACTCCATGTATCATAAAAAGTTGGAGGAAAAAGAGATTAAAAGGAATTAATAACTAACAGAAATGTACGGGAGATAGAAAAGCAACATGGAAAAAGAATGAGACATCAGAGAGATTATGAAAAGTGAATGCATCTGCGCCAGCTATCGTGAACGATTTTCAGTAATATCACCAATATTCCCCAGCCGTTTTAAATTTTTTATCTTCTCTACCTTTGTGTGCCACATGCACCACAAGGTCAGTTGAACTGCTACACTTCTGTGCAAAGTTCTGTGTTGAGACTGAGTCAACATAAGATTATCTTTTGAAATAGTTTACTTCATAACTATGATGTAATTAGAAACGTTTTTAATGTTGTTTTTTTCTTTCATTTCAGGGCAGTCCAGATTGTTTAAAAGGCTTGAATTTTCTTATCACTGGTGTATTAGAGTGTATTGAACGAGATGATGCTACTAATTTAATTCAGAATTGTGGCGGGAAAGTTTTAAAAACATTGGGTAAAAAGACTGATTATCTTGTAGTTGGGCGAGAACCTGGTGCTGCTAAAATTGAGAAGGTGAGTCCCCGGTTATTATACACTTGTACCACTTACTTGGAATTAATATACTTCAAAATTTACACTTATTCCTCGATATTCTTATATAGTCAAGACTAATTCAGGTAAAAGTGTAATGGCAGAAGATAAGATTTTGAAATAATAGAGAAGATTTTTAGCTCAGGTGGACAATTTGCAATTAACAGGGTTCTCTGAGCTGGTTGGTTTAGTTGCAGACCTTCCGTCGTCCTTCTGGACAATATATTCAGTGCAATATTTAGCATAAAGTGAAATGATTTTAATTTCTTCATGAGTGATATAATTGCGCCTCCTGGTAACTATCTTTACATATGTATTGACCATTTTCTATTGACTTGGATTTTAAACTTTCTGGTCACCTGGTTTACTTTTTATTAGTTGGTATATTTCGACTATATTAACGTGTCTGTCAATTGCATTTTCGTTTGAGTACCAGGCTTCTAGGAATTCCCTGGCACTTTTGGTGTTTCCTCTGTCTAAGATTTCCACATTATCCCAATCAAAATGGTGTCCATAATTGTCTATATGCATTGATACTAAAGAATATATATCGTGTCTTTTCACGAAGATGTTGTCCAGAAGGACGACGAAATCTCCGCAAATAAACCAACCCGCTCAGAGAACACTATTAATTTCAGAAGATTAGATTGTCGACGAGTGCCAACTTGCACGAAACCTGGGTCCTAAGGCTTCCTGCCATTCGCCTCCAACCATATAATATCAACAATTCCAAAGTGCACAGTGGTGCCGAGCCACCTAGAATAGAATGCTGGCCACACTACAAACTTGACTGGTAGAATTCATTCTAGACCAAACAGAGGACTAGACACACTACACTAGTCACTGACTAGTGTCCAATCAAAGCACAGGACTTAGTACCCGATCCCTATTAAGGGAAAACGCATCATATTTATTTATACATTCTTAGCCACCTTAAAGTTCAACGTAGTCAGGTTAAACATGTTGTCCAATGGGTCCATTTTGGATAAGATTTTATTTTGATAAATCACAGTGTTGTACAGTAATAATAACAGTGATATAATATCAGTTAATATTACTGTACAACACTGATTTATCAAAATAAAATCTTATCCATAATGGAGTTATACTCTACCACAGTGCCCAAGTTTTATACTTATATGAATTGTCCAATGAGGTTATTCCATGTCGACAATGTAAATTAAATCCAGATTTGATGAATAAACACTTGTAGCTTCTGAGCCAGCCATTGACATAAAATGTTGATTTCAATTTTGGATCGCTTCCCATCAATTTGCATCACGCCACTCATGGAGAAATCTCTGTACACATTAACTCTAAAATCTGTTTGGGTTGCTAGACTGTAAATGCCGTAAGTATAAATCTGACTTGCTAATGAATGTGATCGGTCTTGAAGTTTTTCAGGTGGTCATAGAAAGATAGACACTATCAAAATAAGACCTAACCGCATTACTGCATAATTGTTTAAATTATCGAAAATATATAGCTACATTAATATCAGTAAAAAGTTTGAGCATTGTGGATTATGAATAAAACAATTCCAACAGTGGTGTGAACACGGGCAGTAATTTTGCTCGAAATATTACCAATAACAAAACTTATCATTGTGTGTAAACTATTAAAATATAATTATACTTTATTTGATATATAGCTACACTTCAACTGAAAGGTAAGAAAGATAAGATTGGAATCAGGCTTGTAATGCATGTATAAATTAAAATTCCGTCTGAACGAAGAATATTCTTTTCAACAAAGTTCTCCTCAGATTTTTACAGTTACAAAATAAAATATTTCGTATCATTATAGTGTAATAGCAGAACACAAGATTGGTTGGTAACGGGATGTTTATTTGCAATTTGATCGCACACACCACAGCACTAATAGCCAGTTATACTGTGGATACATTTTTTTTACGTAGAATATTGGGTTAGTTAGTTATAGGGTGACAATGATAGTATGTATTGAACAGGAGATAATAAGAATGCGGTGAATAGCTCATCATGAAATGAATGAGGCAAAGTCATATAATAAGAAAAGTAACAATATCACTAATAATAAATAAGAATATAAGTGTAGAACTTGAGCACTGCGGTAGAATGTAATTCCATATTAGATAAATTTATTTAAATGATCACACAGTGAGGCAGTATTATCGAGTATCCGGTTCCAGTGGCTGAATGGCTTTCTAGCTGGCTTTGTACCTGAAGGGTTCTGGGTTTCGAATCCTGATGGGTGCGTGCTGTCGAAGAGTCCTTAACTAGGGTGAAACAACTGTGCGGTACTCCCTGATTTTTCAGTGGTTCTTTAACCGATGTCAGCTCGTAGCTAGACCTGTAATCAGTCGAATCTCTACAAACCGACACTCGAAAATTTATGTATCCCACATCAGACTGGGTTAGAAATAAAAACCGAACTTGTCTCTTTTTATTAATGATTTCGAATGTTTCAAGTGAGTTGTAATGATTTCAGCTATTTGAAGTATTTTGTATGCTGTTGGTCTCGGCATTTCGTCAAGTTCACAAAAGGCAATGGGAAATAATTGTCCAATACCTGCTCTGTGTTCCTTGTAGACCAGGTGTCGTAATATTAGAGGCTATTTCTAAATTTTTACTAAACCTTTGTCTAACCACACACTAATAAATGTTCCCCAGCGTGAGCAGCGTCTGAAATAACTTGATCCACAAGAGTAATTGAATTAACAAAGAGGTGACTAGCCTAGCCACTTCATGTTCCAGATTCAGTATCACAATAGGATCGCCTAGAAAGTATGGTTTACAATTAACTGGCATCAAGAGTTCTATGAATTGATTTCCTCAGATTGTTACTTCATCTCTAAATTATTATCGTATATAAAATGGCTTATTGCTTACGGATACTACTTCCTTAACCTTATACTTTCTTGTGAATTTATCCTGATAGTTATTTGCATCCATGGTATTATAATACTGTAACAAACCTCTGTCTCATATTCACTCCCATTGCGCAAACATATACTAGTTATTTACTCTACAATAGGGTTTTTTTTTACTAAATCTTTATGGCGAAGCTGTTGAAATGCTTATTCTATCTAGTCCAGACACTTTTTTATGTAAGTTTGTTCTTATCATACCATCTGAGCTACTTGTGAGAAGGAAAACACCAAAACTCTTTCAAATCGAATTGCACTCAATTGGTCATATTGATAATTATGAGAAGAAATGGGAAATATGGATTCTGACAGTCGATTCCAAGCAGACAAGTTTGCACCCTTCTCCCTCCTCCCACTTATATAAGTGAGATACATTATGTCTTGCCAAAATAATTCACGAATAACCTACAGGATTTAGGTTGGATATTGCTATAAAGCCAATAATGACACTGTTTTAACCTTACTTAATTTCTATTTCATTTTTTCAAGGCTAATAACTTCAAGATTAAACAGATTACAGAAGATGAACTTTATGAAATGATTGAAAAGTCGTCTGGTAATGCTGTGGGACATCATCAATCAGAGAAAACCAGTCCAACTGTTTCTAAATCACCGAAAAAAGTGGGTTTATCTAACAAATTACAAACTGAAAAAACGATAGTAAAAACTCCTACAAAATCTCCTAATAAAAGTTCAACTACTAAAGTTTCAGATAATTCTTTTAAGTCTTCTAACGAAATAATATCTGAGGTTATGAAAAAGTCGGTTGTATCTCCTCGCAAAGAAACCCTGCTTACAGCACGTCCTGTTTTCACCAACAACAGCTCATCATTGTCAAATAAAATTACTAAGACTCATAATCTTGTACCAGGCAAAACTCCTGCTGATATAATGACTGATAAAGGAAATCTATCGACTAGAGGAGCATGTGTATCAACTGAATTATGGGTGGATAAATACAAGCCAACTTCTCTTCGCTCACTTATTGGTCAGAATGGTGCCAGTAGTCCAGCTAATCGACTTCTTGCATGGCTTTCCTCTTGGCATTCAAATTTTTCAGCAGGTTTGTTAATATTTTGTTTCTTCCTAATGTTGATATCAATTTATTCAATCGGAACTACAGTTTCTTACCCGACCAGGATGCATTTTTTTTGCTGTAGAATTGCTCTCTACATTGCTGCATTAACAAAGCGGTGAATAAATTGGTTCATAGTTTGAAAAAATTGCAATACGGTTGTAAAAGGAGTTGTTGGCTTCTTCATACATTCATAGATTTATGCCACTGGCAAGACAGTTGGTTGTTTGATATGAGTATTCTTTAGTACAATAATCAGTTATACTAGTATTTTGATAACTGGGTGACTTTGAGCACAACTCACTCCTTATATCAGGGTATTTACATGACTTTGTAATTTGCTCTATTTACTTCTGTACACAGTATCTGGTTGATTAGACCTCTGTAAACCAAGTGTGATTCTAACCTATGAATTGATAAGTAAGGGTTAAATGTCTTGATAGAAAGACTACAGATAAGTTTGAATAAAGCGAGAACAACATTGATTTGTGCAGAATAACATGGTACCATCATTTATTTCGTTGGCTTCTCGTCAGCTGCTTACAGCCTAAATAAATTTTCAGGTTTAAGTACAGAAACGTTTTAACGTACTTGCAAATTTTACATGTTGACAGAAAGTTTCACAACTAGTAAACAGTGCTCAGAAAATTGCGCTTATATAGTTTTTACACAGGCAGTTCAAGTTAAAAAATAATAAATAAATGTATGTATATAATGGTAAGGGATGTGCGTTGGATGCATAGTGACTAATAAGTTAGGTAACAATGTACTGAGTTGAACTCAAATCATAGAAACAAGAGACAAACAAAATTACAGATTATAAAAGGAGGGTGAGGTTAAAGACAAAATTACACAATCAGATGAGAGATGCAAAGCGACTAATAAGTTAGGTAACAATGTACTGAGTTGAACTCAAATCATAGAAACAAGAGACAAGCAAAATTATAAAAGAGGGTGAGGTTAAATAAAGACAAAGATTACGCAATCAGATGGGAGAAAAAAGACATCCAGTTACCAAGGCAAGTAAAGACTAATAACTGATTCTTTCTGAACACATATATCTGGTTTCAAGCGTTTGATAGAAATTGCTTCGGCAAACTTGAGGAGAATGGAGCTCCTTTGTCTATTAATAATTTTGAAGGATTTCTCGATTTCCACCTCATGACCCGTGTCGAGGAGATGTCTGGTAATAGCGCTGCTATAAGAATTTGTTCCCTTGAGACGTAGGCTTTTCGGCACATGTTCAGAAAATCGGAGGTGTGCCCTTCTTTCTGTTCTCCCAATGTAACTGCTCCCGCAGATACACGTAAATTTGTATACACAGTTGGAGTTAACATGAGAAGGGTATCTATCGACTTTTGACTGCACCAAAGAGCATGTTTTTCGGTGGACGGGAACCAACTTAGCTGCAGGATAGGCTCTGGCTAGTGACGTCCTCAGTCTTCTGTTGACCATTTCTGCAATGTCTTCACCTTTAAAGTCTAGTTGAATGAAGACAGGCTTTTTTTCGACTGTGATTTGTTTGGTATTTGGGCCTTCACATCTTCCATATTTGTTAATGAATTTTTGAGTATAGCCGTTGTTTTTCAGCACCTTTTCGAGATTCGTGAATTCTTCCTCTAGTTTCTCTGCAGAGCATATTCTCCTCGCTCTATAGTACAGAGTCTTGACTAGTGCTCGTTTATAGCTATTTGGACAAAAACTATTAAAATGTAAGTATTGTTCATTCCATGTGGGCTTTCGGTAGATTGACCTCTGGAGACTACCATCTTCTAGGCGTTGCATGGTGACGTCAAGGAAATGGAACTTTCCATCATTTTCATGTTCCATAGTATATACAATATTTGTATGTGCGTTGTTGAATAGTCTGAGTAGGTAGGAGGCATGACTTTCGTTGTTGCATACTACAAATGTGTCATCGACATATCGACAATAGGAAGTTGTTTGATCAATTGCATGCTTCAGCTTTGTTTTCTCAAGGTTTGACATAAAGATATCTGCTAAAACAGGGCTAAGTGGACTGCCCATAGCTACACCATCTATTTGTCGGTAAAGAGTGTTGTCAGGTAAGCTTTGACTTGATGGAGAATATAAATCTGTGTGCATTTTGCACTGTTAAATTTATCTTAGATTGACGCTATACTCATAATCATACGCTTTGACTGCTTTCAGGGGCTGTCCATGCCTAAACATTGATGTATATTTACTTCTTTTTAGGATTAAAAGCGAAGGCTTATTCAAGTGCTCCTCCATGGGGTCCATCATCCAGTGACGACGGGAAGTGGGCACGAGCTGCTCTTCTCTCTGGTCCTCCAGGTATTGGGAAGACTTCAACTGCCATTTTGGCATGCAAAGAACTTGGTTTTACATATTGTGAGTTCAATGCATCTGACTGTCGGTCAAAACGCTGCTTAAGTGAAGAAATAGGACAATCTCTAGGCTTGCGGAATTTATCCCATATGGCGTTTGGACAAGGTATGTGTTTTAAGTTTACTTCATCGGTTTGTTTTGAATTAATTAATTAATATATGATGCCTATGACTCAAAGAATTACGAATCCGTTACTCATTATGTGCCTGTTTGTAAAGGTATGATTAAGGATGGAAGTAGATTAAATGAAACTTCTAAACACTTCTCATTGTTCAGCAGTATATTATGTGTATCATACACAGATCTGTAGATGATCCGCTTATCAGTTCTTTGACAACCGATCTAGAAAATGTCCATTTCGGAGGTTATACTGATTTCTCGAACCCGAGGGAGATAATTCATGGTAATGAATGATACATTTTTAAAATGGCAAGTGGTTTTCATCATGAAGGATAGTTTCACAACAGCTAAATTTGAAAAACAAGCGAAGTATTCTGTTATTCTGGTGCAGATGCACTCGCTCTTTGTAGTCCCCTAAATCCTTTACTTCCCCCCCCATGTTTTTCCATGTTACTATTTTTCTCCCGTACATATCTGCTCATTATAGTTCTTTTGAAATTCTTTTTCTTTCATCTACCTTTGTGTGCTACATGGAGTGTGGCAGGGCGTTAACCTTGCTTAACCGCAGAGTCCAGTTGGTCAAATACAGTCTGCTTCGAGTGAGTTTTGAAGACCTTACCGCTGGTTACAGATCGCCTCAGGGCAAATCATGATGTGTAGTTTTAGGGCCTGGCCTTCTATACCCCTTCCCTCGTCCAGAGCCAGAAGACAGAAGCATCTGACTGCCTTCACACCCTTATCCGTCTACAGTCTCACTTCGCTCCCACATTCATACTGTTAATGACTTTCACTATGACGGTTACTGCTTCTAGTCTAATCGCTATCCAAACAATTCTACTTTGGTAGGATCCGTCTGTCTGTTTTCGACATAGAACTTTGCACAAATGTGCGGCAGTTCAAGTCGCAAAGAGGAAAATCAATCGACGAGGCTATAAAGTTACATAGACTGAGATGACTAGGTCACGTGGTGCGCATACCTAACCATCGCCTCCCCCGACGGGCATTACTAGGTGATATAGGTGCAGGTTGGAAAAGAGCCAGTGGTGGCTAAACAAAAACATATCATCAATCCATGAAATCCTTGACAGTTAAACTGAGTCAGGTAGGGAGATGCAGACTCCCGGGTTGGGGCCCTCTGGACTCTAGGAATCAATGGCTGGAGACAATAGGTGACATAGCTCAAAATCGTTGTCAATGGCGCGGATGTATTCAGTCCCTGTAATCTTTCATATTCCTTTCTACCATTACCCATTCTGTTTCACTCTTATACTTGTCAGACTGTATTGATTCTCTTCACTCATCTTCTTGTCTACCTTTGTGGAACGTGGCAACTCGAACTGCTGCACCTCGGTGCGAAGTTATATGTTGAATCCAGACAGACAGACAGACAGTTCAAGTCGCCACACTCCACTCCTTGTAGCACACAAAGCAACAGAAGAAAGTACAAGAAAAGCATAATAGAGACAGTAAACAGAGGTGTGGGACAAATGAGGAGTAATAACGAAGAACAAAACAGTTTCATTGGAAATCATAAGTCATAAGGAGTGGATGCATCTGCGCCGGCCACTGAGAACGATTTTGAGCCATATCACCAATTGTTTCCAACCATAGACTTTTACCGTCCCGAGGACCCCAGCCTGGAAGTCTACGCCTTCCTACGTGGCTTAGACTAACTGTTGTAGATTCCATTGACTGGTGCCATGTTTTGGTTTGACCACCGCTAGCTCTTTTCCAGCCTGACCTTAAGTCAGCTAACATTGCCCGTCAGTCGAGGAAGGCGATTACTAGGTATACGTAACACATGTCCTAACCATCTCAGTCTTTGTAACTTCACGACTTCGTCGATTGATTTCCCCTGTTTACCTAGAACTCGACGCCTAACCTCAATATTGGTCACCTTATTATGCCACTTCACACGGGAAATAGAACGCAGGCGCTTATGATCGAAGACAGATAATCTTTCATGTCTTCCACTCTCTCTCTCTCTCCACGGCTGGCCATAAAGGAGGTCGGAGCGGACTGATGAGCAGTATACCCGCCCTTCGGTCGATAGTCGAACATCACGTCTACGCCAGAGGCGGCGTAAGCTGGCAAATGCGAAACGAGCCCCCTGTATTCGTGATGAGATTTCGTCAGAGATCAGCCCGTTGGCACTGGCTGATGGTACTTCCCAAATAAGTGAAGCGGTCAACGTGCTCTACCACTTCACTTCCTATTTTTAAACTAGGCGTCGATGTAGTCCAGTCCTGTAACATCATCTTGCATTTGGCGGGAGCGAATCGCATGCCAAACATTCGTAGATTGTAGCTCAAGGTGTTTAGAAGACTCTGCATTTCGTCAGCGTCTTCGCCTAGAAGGACTATATCGTCTGCATATTCCAAGTCAACGAGATTATTCCCTGGTAGCAAGTCAATCCCTGAGTCGCAGAAGTGAGTTAGGGTTAAGTCCATTAGTACATCTATGATGAAGTTGAATAGAAAAGGAGATAATGAGCATCCTTGACAGACGCCGCTAGTCGTCATCAGTGCAGATGACAACTCGCGGTAGGATCTGTAGGAACATTCATGTTAGACAGCAAACTGGACCACCGCGTCATTTTTGCACCGTGGTAGCCACAGTTTGCTCTCGATACAAGATATAACGATAAGAATTTAAAAGAGATGAGGACAAGTGGTCATAGTATATATATAGTTACAATTTTAGTTAATAATATTTTTTTTGCTTTATTCCAAAAACAGTACTAATGATACAGCAAGGAATTTTCAACATTCAGTACAATATTGCATCCAATTTACTCAAAAACGACAAAAAAAATTAAAAATACACAATACATAATAGTAATAAAACGATTGTTATAGCAGCTACGTCTGTCTGGATTCAACATAGAACTTGGCACCGAAGTGCACCAGTTCCAGTTGCCACGTTCCAATTGGCACACAAGGTAGACAAGAAGATGAGTGAAGAGAATCAATAGAGTTTGACAAATATAAGAGTGAAACAGAATGGGTAATTGTAGAAAGGAATATGAAAGATTACAGAGACTGAATACAGCTACGTAGCAAAATACTGTATGCCATACGGAGAAAAATATGCATAAAGTACAGAATTGTAGTAATAATAGTAATACCAACTAAAATAAAATAGCAGAGTAACAATTAAACGATAGAAAGTGTGACACCATAAAATACAGAAAGATGAACGATGAAAGGGTCGATTCACTGTGCTAATTACATAGTAATTTGTGAGTTTCACGTCTAACAGAGTCTTCGTCACATAAAGTACGGGCTAAATAGGGTATTGCAGAATTTCTATACTTAGTGGTACGAGCATATAACTTTTTATATTGACTTCTCGTCCTACCTGATGAGATACAAGGGGACAGGTGTGAATAAAGGAGGTGCAGAGGGTCTGACAGTATAGCCTTTGCCCATTTCGTACAGGAATTTATATGCTTCTCGACTATAGTATTAGCGAGCTCATGCAGTGGCAGACCACAAGCTCTACTCACAGCATTCAATACTCTTCGTAATATGATATAATCTTTTTTGAGAAGCCCAGGAAAGATTAATGGAGAGCAATAGAGTACAATAGGTAAAATACAGGAGTTTAAAAATTGCAAAACTAAAGGTTGGTTGATACCTGATTGTCTTAACTTTTTAATGTAGAAGGTAAGACGAAACATTTTCTTAGAGATAGATAAGATATGGGATGACCATGAAAGGTCAGAGGAAAAAACTAATCCAAGGTATTTAATGCTTGATTTGGTTTCAATTTCCGTGCCATCTATGCTACAGGGATCATACGAGCTAACTAGTTCAAGTAAGTCACGTCGATGCTTGAAAGTAAAGTCAAGTGCCTGACATTTGGAAGGATTTAATATAAGACCATTTGACTTGGACCACTTGTTGATGTCCAACAGAAAGCTATTAAGTTTGGAGCTGTCAGACTCGGAAGTGATAGGCAGTGATACAGTCAGATCATCTGCATATTTGACAAAGTTAGTTTCGTTTGAATGAGGCAGGTCATGTAGGAAGAAAGAAAAAAGAAAAGGAGAGAGGACAGCACCTTGTGGAACACCGGATTTTGTAAGCGAGGTAGAAGAAGATTTGCCGTTATATACAGTATACTGCATTCTATCAGAAAAAGAGGAATGCAACCAACTCTTTGCCCAGGATCCTGTTTGCGTCAACGATAGCTTATTTAACAAAAGGCCCCTAGGTACAGAGTCAAAAGCAGATGTGTAGTCTAAGAAAGCACTACGAACATATTTAGCACCTTTGTCTAAACAAGAGACAACATTGTGATATAAGACAACCGCAGCATCCAAGGTACTTCTATCATGTTTGTATGCAAATTGTTTAGGATCATTAAAAGGTTTCAAAGCGGGTTCAAGACGAAGTAAAAGTGATTTTTCCATCAATTTTAAAAAGGGGGAAGTAATTGCAATAGGCCGAAATTTAATATCAGAACCAGAAGATGGTTTTGGTATAGGGATAATTTTAATGTTTTTCCATGCAAAAGGTAGAACGTTACCGGAAAAAGAAGCATTAAAAATGTTAGTAAGAGGATAACACAAAATATCAGCACAATTCCTGAGGACAATGGCAGGTATGCCGTCAGGACCAAGGCTTTGAGAAGGCTTAAGAGACCGGAGACATTTAAGCACATCAAGGGTATTAAAACCACTAAAGTTATTGTCAATATGATTTGTATCATTTGGAAGGGTATCAACAGAAGAGCGTATGAAAGATTTATTAAGAGTGTCAACATTAAGAGATGGAACAGAAATACATCGCTTACCGTTAGTAATTTCTTTGAAAAGTTTCCATAAATTAGAAGGGGTTTTACATGACAAAAATCTTTGATTATATAAAACATTTAGTCTTTTCATTTCCAGTTTTATCAGAATGTTTAACTTTTTTACACCAGGCTTATCATTAGTTTTGAACAACAGTTCTTTATCTCTACGTAGCTTTTTGAGATATGGCGAAGATAAGCGATCAAATCGAATGAATAATGTTTCTTTAGGACAACATATTTCGAAACAGAATTTAAGATAATCGGTAGTGTTTGTGATTGTTTCATCTAATGTTTGTTCTGTAAATAAGTCCCAGTTAGTGTCTTTCAACATGCATCTGAGCTTGTCTAGGTTGTCTTTTGAGTAGCATCTCCGTTGAACTTTACTGTAGAGGTGAGAGAGGACACCTTTGTGTGATTTGGAATATATTTTAGGCAGTACACGTATGATGCAGTGGTCAGAGTTAAGTAAAGGAGCACGTTTGCGAGCTTCATATATACCAACATCATTGATGAATACTAGATCCAGTTTTTTACCAAGACGGGTGGCAAAGTTAACAATATTGTCATGACCAAGTGATATAAGGAAGGAGCAATCGCTTCCATTGAAGTCGCCAGTTACTATTGATAAAGAGTTCTCGAAACAAGCTGCAGCAAAAGCGGTGAATTCATCAGCGAACATAGATAAATCCAATATGGTACAGCCAGGAGAGACATAAACATTAGAAATATAAATGAATTTGTATTTTGACAGGTGTTTCGGGCGACATCTCACAGTGATGCAATCAATGAAGTCATTCGAGAATTTGAAACAAACTTTGTTAGAAATGGACCATTTTGAGTGAATAAAAGTTGCAACACCTCCACCACATTTTTTCTTGGAACAAACACGGTCTTGTCGGAAAACATTAAAGTTGTTTAGAGACACAATATTGTCATCGTATGAGTCATGGAGCCAGGTTTCTTGTAGAGTGACAATACCAGTATTGTGGTAGGTACTGGAAGACAACAGGGACTGAAAATCCAGAATTTTATTAGGCAGGGACCGGCAGTTGGTACTAATGATAACTGAAACAGTGGTGTGATGTATGGGTGTAGATTTTAAGGCACGCTGCCAACCTCCATGGTGCTTTTTCTTGAGTTTATTGCAAATATGAAAGTTTTTGGGTTTAAAACGTTTTATAAAATCCCGGGAGTGGATAATACGATTAGAATGCATAATGTGATATGTAAATACCAATAAAATACGAGTAAATAGATGCAAAATGTACATGGAATGCGGTAGCCCAAAAGTGTTCAAACAGGCCGCCAAGGTCATTCGATGCTTTTTATCGATTGCAGCTCTATCATCTTCAATCGTCCAAATCTGCCCAGGGGATAGTAGTTTCCTCAAGGTTGCAGAAACGCCTTCCTACCGGTAGCCTCTAATCACCTAACATGGAATCCATTTTAACGGTGTTTGTAGCAAACTTGTTTGCTTTCTAATTTTCCTCCTTTTTCCCTGACATTTTTAATCAGGTTCACCAAAAAAACCCCGCAATCTTGTTCCCCAAAACTAGTTAAATATTTATGTATTTCAGTGATATGCATTCAAAATTGGTTGTATTCATTCTTTCATTTTATTAGCCTCACAATTGAATGTGGGTCGTCATGTGTTAATTATGGATGAAGTGGATGGTATGGCAGGTAATGAAGATCGTGGTGGAATGCAAGAACTGATTAATATGATAAAAACAACTCACTTACCTATTATCTGTATGTGTAATGATCGTCAAGCGATTAAAGTGAGTGTTGTTGCTTTTTATATATATTTTGAAACAATTAGGAACCAAGATATGGATGTTAGCAGAGCCTCTTACACATGACGTTATGGCATGGTTCTTCTTTTCTTCTTCTGAATACCATTTATTTTTATATTAGTCTGTGAAACAGTGATGTGCCGTAAATTTTTATGGTTATAGAATGATCACATACTGTCTAGTTGACTATAGTGATTTATTGAATGTAGTTTAAATCTGTAGATCTCTAAATAAAAGTTAATCTGACTCTATCAGAAACTATGAATACGAGTGTGAAGTGGGAATGAAGACGAAATGTAACTAGTATAATATTAATAATAATGGTAATAATAATTGTTATTGCATTATAATGATGGGTTTATCAAGAAGTAAACACACTTATTGTGTATTTCTGAAAATATATAAGTTTTTTGGAAGAAAGCGATGTCATGAACTGATGCAAACCTGTATAGATAAGGGAAATATTGACTGTCATTACTCGAGTGGGCTTAGAGAATCGGCTCAGCTCTCTAAGCAGAGTCATATCGAATATACGACTGACGAAATCAGTTCCGAAATTGGTGAAGCTGCTGTCCGACATCTAGATTACTGCGATGTGTGTATCAAGCACTACTGGTTGGTGTGAGTGGTGGTACCCAACTACTCATATCAATCAATCAGTAGTGTATAGCCTCATGAACGTAGTGAAGGTTGAAAAGCCGTTGTTGTTTTCATGAAAAAGTTTAAGAATTCACGACGGATGGTATCTATAATATGTTTGGATTCGTTGAGTAATTCGTTGTCTTCCTCGATGTGCAAATGGGCCAATGTAAAGAATAGAGAATGTAAGATGTGTAGACACCAGTAGCCTTGAACGCTTAACGTTTGTCGGATTTCAGAACTTGGCATTACTGCCGCGCATGTATTAGCCCTGTGCATGATTTAATGTGTAAATTTCATCCAGATCTTGTTTTTATATACTGTGTGTATAATGGATTAATAGCACGTGGTAGCAAATGCTCTTGTTGAGACTGTATACATACGTATAGTTTTTCAAACGCAGTCGATAGGCTTGTATTCAGATGTACAAACTGTAGAAAAAGAATTAGTGTTCGAAATGGTAAATCACACATTTTATTTGGTAATTTCTAGGAACTTTCTTTTCTAAATCGAAGTTGTCGTTGATTAACATACTCTTTATCTGATATTATTGGATTATAAAGACTGAGGTGTCATCCACGGCTGCACGGACCGAAAATTCACTGGTTTCTGGTATCCAATAGCGCCAGCATTGTAGGAATATAGCATCGTGGAAGAGAAGGTTTTGGTTGAAATTGATAGAACTGTTTTGATGAGGAAGTACAATTGTGGTCGCTCTGGTGTGAATAATGTGTGGATATTGGGCTTTACCACACTACTACTGGTATAGGAATTGTGGCAGTAATTCCAAACCGTAGTTCGAAGACTCCTACCGATACACTCAACTGTAAGTAATTCCGGGTAGTATAATTCATACAGACGAATAGACAGGCTACAATCGGTTATCAGAGTTGTGTTTCATCCACCGTGGTGTCATTCATCTAGATGACTTTGTAGGTCCCATCACTGTGATTCATATTTATTCCACTGAAGTCTTTTGAGGAAGGCTGGAGAACAGGATTCAAGCAGTAAAAATGCCTCACAAAAATGTCATTTTCAGTCATCCTGATGAGTGTATGTACAGAAATTGATTTAACTTTAAATCCGATACACCTCATCGTAACTGAGATCTATTTTGAACTCAGGAGAAAATATCTTCTTTAATGTACTTTATTATTATTGTTATTTGTATTTTTCTTCTAAATAAAAGGCTTTTTCACGCCAAAAGCAAGGTTTTTTTATTTCAAGGGCACACGTGTGTTCTCATTCCGTGACCTGACATATTTAAGAAAATGTAGATTGTCCATTGGAGTACCGCAAGGTGCTAATGAACCAATGGTTATGTAATCTCGGAGACATGTTCCAAATGAATTCACTCTTTCCTAGTCATCTTAAAGATTTTCAATATGACCGAATTAAATTTTAATGGAAACATTTTTTGCTGGGCTGATCACGAGCTGACATCAGTTAGAAAAGCACTGGAAAACCTAGAAGAACTGGATAGCCGTTTCGTCCTAGTTTTTGTCTCTTCAGTGGTACGCACTCGCTGCCAGGGATCGAAACCCAACAATTTCCGGTAACGAGGTGAGCTTGTAGACGACTAAGCCTGTGGGACGCGATCCAATTATCCATGAATTCCAACTTCTGCTAATTTGTGATATATATTTAGTGCAACCACCAACCAATATTATGGGCGAGTAACTATCCTCTTCTATGACTTGGTAGACCTCGCTGGCTGCGACTTCTCATTCGAACCCCAGGTACTTCCTGTATGGGGCTAGTCGCTGTTTCTGAGAATGTTTGTTGTTTTAAAGAGCAAATCATTTTGCATATATCTTTTTTTTCCTCTTTCCTCTTGTCAATTTTCAGATACGCTCCCTAGCTAATTATTGTTTAGATTTACGATTTCATCGTCCACGAGTTGAACAGATTAAATCAGCAGTTCTATCAATTGCTTTTAAAGAAAATGTCAACTTACCTTCAGATGTTTTAACAAATATTATTGATTCGAGTAATCATGATATAAGACAGGTAATTTAATTAACAATGCAATGTCCAGTGCATAACAGATTGTTTCTTAATTATTACCCTGTATATAGTGTACATTTCAGTTTTTCCATTGTAATACTTATTTTATACATAGATAGATGTAGATCGTGCACTGATGGCGATTAGATAGTCAGGAATAGCTCCTCAAATAATAATAATAATTAATAATCATGTAGACTAAGTTCATTACTATTACTACTAATATCATAAGGAGGAAGTTTCTGATATAACTGGTCATAATAATACTGAGATTTCAGTTCGTCGTAAGCTGTTGAATCTGGTGAACCCATCGGGGTTTGAACCTAGGATATTCTGGCCAATAGAAAGAAATGAAATTTAACATTGCTTGAGCTTATTTAATTCATTTTGAACTTTCCCGTTGATTGATTCAACCGAAGTGCTTGGCTCAAGTTGACATGTGGACACCTTGTTTAGATGCTTCGATGATGTCTGATTATTTAACTTGAAGTAGTTTGGTGGGTGGTGACTAGCAGTGGAATCCAGCATTAATATTTCGTCCTGTTTGGGACTCGTCATCTGGGTGTACCTGCATTTCCCCCATTCCCAACGAGAAAGTCCATATTGATACTGATACCTGTTGCACAAGAGGTAGCTCTCGTAGCCGATGTAGTCTAGTGGATAACGCTTTTGGCTCTTAAAACTATGGTTACCGGGTTCGAGTCTCGGTGGGAAGACCGTCTCACACTGAGGAATGCAGGCGCATCCAAATACCGAGTTCCAAATAGGACGTGATGCGCATCTTGGATTCCACTTCTAGTCACCGTCACCAATTTATTTCGTCACTTTGTTTCAGCCATTCTGAGGTAATTGATTTCCTGAACCTCGTGTCATATACTTACTTTACTTCGGCTATCTCCTACGGGAGGATGAGCCGGCTTCATGAACGTCTCGAATCATCGCTGCCCAGGCGCGGCAATCTGATGCAAGGTTTTGCGACAGGGTTATCCAATTCTTGTTCCACAGACGGAGTTCGTAGACGGTTTGTAGCCCCAGGCACTCCATATCAGCCTTGACTGTACCAAGCCATGTCTTCAGCTGCCCACCCCTGCGACATCGCCAAGATGGAAATGTCGAGGGATTTAGAACTGATTTGACCAGATCGTCATCTGGTCGGCGCAGAACATGGCCAGACCACCGGAGGCGACGTTGTTGGACCATACACGTGTCATATGTCACACTCGTGTCATATGAAAGATTGTATTCCGTAAAACAGACTAAACTGGGAAAAAGTAGTGACTGAGTATGGCACATGAAAAGTTGACTTTTTACAGCTACAGTCATCACCTAAATCGAATTTCGCTCTCATTTTGCGGTTTCAGTTGATTCTGTTAGTATAACGAAAATTTCAATAATAATTTTCGTATTCCTACACGTAGTAGTTAGCCACATTTGTTTGTCTTGGCCGCAGCTGATGTTAGAAGCCGCTTACTCAAAATTCATTATTTAGTGACAGGTTCGAAATCATGTTTGCTAGATATAATACATGACAGACTGCAACTCACGTCTATTTAGATTTCACTTGACTTTTTTATTTTGCCTAGCTTTATAAACTGGGATAGATTTATCATGTACAAGTTTATGAGCCACAAAATTCTTTTTTTGAAGGTTGGTAATGCTACGCAGCTGCCCAACCTGAAGTGAGAGAGGTAGAACTCAAACCTGGGACTTATTGGTTGGAAGTGGAATGTTTAGACCAGTGTAAAAGAAGGGGTGGATGGGTTAGTCGAGTTAGTGTTCATCAACTGAATTTTCTGAGATTTGTGTTTGTTACCAAAAGCATTTCACAACAGACTAACCAACTTTCATCAACAACTGCCCTCGCTCGATGCTGAAGATCAAACAACTATCAAGATGCTCTACCCGGAACTCAAGGAATGTAAAGTAGTTTGATAAATCAAAAAAAGTTGGCAGTGGTCAGATCTTCTATGTTGTGTAGGTGTGATCGTTCAGATACTAAGAATTTTTGGCTGCAAACTATTTTGCATCAGTTGTAAATTGTTGAAAATTGCTCATTTCTATTCACTCTTCAAGATCACCCATGTGAAGTTGTGAACATTTTCAGTAAACGCCACCAGATAATCCTCCTCTGTTACCTCACACTTATGTTTATCGTTTGTAGTATCTATTTCATTTCTTTCTCGGAGTTTGGCAAATTAAATTGATTCATTTTTGCGATCTGATTTTTTTTCTGTCTAGCTTTTATTGTATACGATTTAATTTTTGTTATCACGAAAAAGATTATTGATATTATGCAGCCAAAAAAGGTTTAAATCTCACTTTATTTCATTCCTTTTCTTGTTGTTTGTTTTGTATGTTTGCATGTTAACATAAACTGGTTTGTATATTAGTCTTGACTGACTGACTGACTGACTGACTGGTTTCAGCATAGAACTTTGCACAGATGTGCGGCAGTTCGAATTGCCGAAATCTATGTAGCACATAAAGCAAGAGAAGAGAGTAAAGAGAGAGATAATTAACAGAAATATGAGGCAAAAAGAATGGTAATGTGGAAGAACAATAGAATTTTGTTGTATAGGATAAACCACAAACAATGAAGGCATCTGTACCATCATTGATAACGATTTTGAGCCATATCACCAATTGTCTCCAGCCTTCATTGGTTCTTACCATCCCGAAGACCCCAACTGGCCAGTTTCCACCTTCCTATGTGGCTTAAACTAACTATTGTGGATTTCATTGTCTGTTTTGGCTTGACCACCTTTAGCTCTTTGCCAACCTGATGCATTCTATGTCAGCTAACATTGCCCGTTGTGGAGGAAGGCGATGGCTAGGCATGCATACGTAACACATGTCCTAATCATCTCAATCGATGCAGCTGCTTAATAACCTCATCGATTGATTTTCTCTCCTTACCTAGCACTCGACGCCTAACCTCAATATTATTTATTATATTTATTATTATTATTTCAGGTAATCAACAATGTTCAAATGTGGTGTAGTTCTGGTCTCATCGACTCTGAAGGATTAAAAGCTGATGCATTAGGTGCACGTAAAGATTTACACTTGAATGCATTTGATATTATTCGTAAGGTATTTGCACCAGATATTTCTGGTTCTCAAGGAAGTGTTGCCACCTTCAATGAAAGCTTAGATTTATTCTTTCAAGATTATAATTTAATTCCATTGTTTGTTGCAGAGAATTATGTGAATGTAAGAGTGCATAATGCTCAGTAAGTACTTTCTTCACTGCTGTTATTTTTATAATTATTATTGTTTTTGCCATTATTACCATTGTGTATAGATATCATTTTGACGTCCAGCTAAGAGTCATCAGCCTTCATATTTAGATCATTGTATTCGGTATAACACGATGATACTGTCAATAACTAGATTATTTTTGAATACAGTATATTGCTTAAAATTACATCCATTATCGGAATATAGAAATTTACTTACATCTTAAATGATGATGGTAACTTGCAGTAGAATCAAGGATGTGCATTTCATCCTATTCGGGACTCGTTACTGAGTGTACCCTCATTCCCCATTGAGTGATAGTGTTCACATCGAACCCAGTGCCCGAAGTTTCTAATGCCAAAGCTTTATCCACTAGACCACTTGGGCTACGGGAGCTACCTCTTGTGCAACGGGTCTTATTAACTATTTGATTCAATTTTAGATTTTCCCGTCGATTGATTAGACTGAAGTGCTTGGTCTCAGGTTGAAATGCGCATCCTGGATTCCACTGCTAATCACCATCCACCAACTAAGCATTGATAATTGACTGTATACTTTGTATAATGTCGATTGATAGTTCGTTATTCATTATTGTCAAATGAACGTATATAAAAAGTGTTCAGTCATTCAGAACATGAGATAAAGTGTGAATAGACAGAAGGGTGACATACTAATGTGTTTATATTCAACAGAATATAAATTTCATTGGGGGTTGGGGGTAAGTTATATTCAATGATGTGTGAGGAGAATGATTAGCACAAAATACAAACAAATACAAAAAAGTGGGGAACACTGAATGGTAAGTTCAAGCAAGGGCTGACAGATAACAAATGTAATGTTAAAGTAAAGAGCTTAAATTGTGAATTGTAATAAAATACTAGAGACATAACAAGTTTAGTGTCAATTACAAAAGATACAACAATAATAAAGATAATAATAGAGTAAGGTAAACTAGGTGAAGGCATAATATGACATGAAAATATGAATGATCGTGTTTCTGCTGTCCTTATAGTGGGCCAGGGTAAACAAAGAGGATGAATGTGCTTCTTTTATACGCATAAGTCAGGTTTTTTCTCATTCATCTCTATAGCTTTCTCTATAACCAACAGACTTAATCATGTGCCTTTAAGCAGATTGTTTGGTACTCGGTATACAAGCATAAATGACTCATCTATTTTGATGTGGTTTTCACTATCTACGAGATGAGACAAGATGGCACTATTTATTGATTTGGTTTCACTTTTTGCAAGCCAAACAGGACCATGTTTTAAGAGTGCTTAAAGATAAATTCCTCCAAATTCGACTTATATAACTAGCTCTACATGAGCAGTTGAATTTGTATGCACATTGATTTTGGTCATCTTTGGTGCACTTTGTCAGTAACGATATGATTGAGAAACTGGATGTATAGTTTACTTTGTTTTAATAGCTTGAACCAATCCTTCTATTTGATGGATAATCATTACAGTGTACTACCTGTTTAATGTATGAAATCTGTATGTAGAATATTCATCTAATTAATGTACATTATGCTGAATCTTCTGCCAGCCCCTACATATAAGACGTCTAGTAGATGTTAACATCCAAATTTATTTATCTGTAAGATGCTGTCATTCAAGGAATGATCGTCATATGAATATTTTCACGCCTCCCCCCCCTCCCCACCACGGCGTACACTACTTTTACCACTAATCATAATAATTAACGTTAACTTTTCTATCTGTCTTGTTTATCTTCTTTTTAGAGATGATAAAAAAGTACTTGATTTGATGTCCAAAGCTTCATTGGATATTGCTATGGGAGATATTATCTCATCTACTATAAGATCTTCACGAACAGGTTCATGGTCATTATTGCCTATACAAGGTATTTTCAGTGTACTTTCACCTGGTCGTACTCTACGTGGTTCTCTACCCGGTGGTCCTGGTGGTGTTTCATTCCCTTCATGGTTTGGAAAAAATAGTACACAGAATCGAATTCATCGTACAACATCAGAATTAGCTTCACACTTACGCTTGGCTACTCATTGTGGTTCATCGAATCCATTGACTTTATTATTGGATTATGCTACACCAGTTTCAGAGTTTATTACTCGTCCATTGAAAGAAGGTAAGTACTGGAGACGAAGTTATTAGATTTGATTTTAAGATTTTAATGATACTAAAAGTTTAAAATAGTTTACACCTTTTATAAATTTGGATGGTGTTTGTTGGAAGAAGACGACGTTTATCTGAAAATTGTGATACATTTGCTCACACATTGAGTTGTCAAACCAATTTCTATGAAAAATAAAAGGCCATCTGAAATAAACGAAATGATAAGGGATTTAAGAATAAGAAGGATAATAATTAACACTACTGTTGGTAATCTTATCAGAAAAGGACAACCAGGGTAGATTAAGAGTAATAATGAGTTGTTTTTGTGCATACAGGATGGAGATGGGGCTTGGATTTACTGCTGGCTATCGCCTCAGTGTATTTCAGTATACGCCTCTGTCGTTTTTTATAGCTAATCTTTAAAGCTGTTCTCATACATCAATCTTATGATTTATATCAATTGTGTTTTACTATAGACGAGATTGGTAGTCCGCTTCCCACACTTATATCGAGGTTTCACTGTTCAGGCGTATTTCAAGCCATTTAGGTATATGTTCTCTCACTGTCATATTGCATGTAAGGTGTGAGTACTTCCGCCTATCCATACGTGTCCACACGCCTATATTAGTTGAGGTGTGACGTAATTACTTGTGCAATGTTGAGGCTTGTTTTAGACCATGTTTTTGACTTTTTCGGGTTGAATAGTAAGTCTCACGGATGCTTGTCCTACGATTTGTTTTTACCCTCAACCCCTTAGATTAGCTGGGTGATCCTTATCTGATCGTGTTATCAAGAATAGTGTTGATTAATTATTCCTTACTCTTCTACAGCGGGTCGGGTGTGAGGACAAATACTCGCCGATGACATTCGCTAGTGGTCGCGCTTTATCGTGAATTAGCAGAAGTTGGAATTTATGGGCCATTAGGTCGGGTCCCAGTGGCTTAACGGTCTACAAACCCCTTTTGTGACCAGAAGGTCCTGAGTTTGAATCTCAGCATGTGAGTACTATGAAGAGCCCCGAACTAGGACGAAACAGCTGTCCAGTACTCCCGGGTTTTCCAGTGGTTCTCTAACGAATGCCGACTCAAGATAAAATCCTTGCCAACCAACGCTTGACTACTGACTCTCTTCTGTTCTGTTTCAAATAACTTTTTTTAGACTGTCTTCAATGCCTTCTAATCAGTCAGTCATCATCCTGAAGCGTAGGCAGTTGATCGATACCGTGGTATTTTAACTCCAGTGTATTACAAGGAATGAAATTCTTCAATGTGATTTACTTAAGTGCAATTTTATGGAAACCACTCACAATAGACATCTCTGTTTACTGAGTAATATATCTTTATATCAACATTCCATGATTCTAGTTGATAGTCTCTCTAAAATGATAATCTGTGTAACAATCATCTTTTCTGACTGATTATCAAACAGTGACTACAGTCTTAAGGAGTGAATGACTTCATGTAGGTGATTGTAGTGAGTGTCTTAGTGAGATTATCAGTGAACTATTAGTATTGGAATTAACTTCTTTGAGTGCAGTCAGTGTTGATTTTGTATTATGGCCAAATTTTCTTTACCTAAGGTTTTTCTTTTGCAACTTGGATTGATTTGAACACTTCCATTTGTTTTTGTTTTTTTATATTCAATGTTAGCTTAAATATTGCTCATTAGGTTTTGTTCTGTGGAACTCCACTGGTCTAGACACTCGACTTTCAATCATTGAGTCACCCATCTCAGTTTTTGGGCAACCAGGCAACACCACTGGCCCTTACACATACACACTCACATACAATAGGTACGGCTTATTACTAACTGTAACTCATTTGGCTTCGTTTGTACAAGTTAGAAATAATTCATTCATTGTTCAGAAATGGTGGTGGTAACATTCGCTTACTTATCCTTTTGTGATTCTTTATAAGGTGATGTTGATAGTGCCATGGAACTATTGGTTAAATATCAAATGATCAGGGAAGATGTCGACAATATAATGGAGTTAACTACATGGCCGAATCAACCAAATCGAATGCAGAATATCGATTCAAAAGTAAGCAGCTGTTATTAACTTTTCTTCAAACTTTCAAGTATATCTTAATCCAAAAAAGTCGTTCAAACATAAACATTGATGTAGTTGAATACTTTATTATTATTATTATTTATTATTATTATCCTCTTAGATTCGGAGGGGAACAGGGCTTCTATAGAACATTTCCATTTCATCCTGTTTTCTCCGGTCGTCTTTGGTTGACTCCACGATTATTCATAAACTGTCATCTCCTTCTCACACGATCTCTTCCATGTTAACCTCTGACACTCAACTGGTTGTTTCCCATTTGGATTCTACTACTGCAGGGCTAGCCTGGCGTGCAATATCACTGAAAGGTCTAACTAGCGTGTCTATGTTCCAGAGCAGTTGTGGATGCATTCCCAATAATGTATGCAAAAGATGGTCTGCTTAGTGTTTGACAACTGTGATCTTTGAGGCCTTAAGGCATCTTACTTTTAATCAAAGAGTAAATGCACAGTGCAATTTTGCTTTTTCCCTCCACTTCACAACCATTGGAGCTATAATTTTAAAAAAGTTTTTCAGTTATTGGTGGATTTGTTTACATATGGTGAAAGCATAATTCCCCTATTGAGTCTGTATATCTTGCTATCTGTGTCGAGTGAAAATGTTGACGTGTATCATACATCATGAATGTTTTTCAACCTACAAAAGTGGTATTTTTGTCCCGAAATTCATATACACCTATATCATGTTTTTCTAGCATACAAAATGAGTAGTCATCAAAATTTTGGCATGGATGATATGCCTACTGTAATTTTCGTCATCTTTCATTATCTTTGTCACCTTTACGTTGGTGAGTTGATGAGTTTTACTATTCCTCATTTATTAGCTATACTAGTGTGTTGTTAAGTGGAGGCTGGATAAACGAAGATACGAGACTAATGCACGAAACTAGGGGCTATCGTTCTGGACACTGTTATGAAATGTAGGTTAGTCAGCTGTAGTCTGTGAAACTACCGTTAAGTACTATTAAAGGTGGTAACTGATGTAACTTCCTTCGTAAAGGACTCTGCGACTCTCTGGGGAAGACATACTTCGCGGAAAGTCTACGACTAACGTTTTCCTGCAAGAAACTGTTCAGCCAGAACGCGAACGACAAGCTGTCTGTTTCGAGGATTTCTGCTTCAATGTCACCTTTGAATTCTAGATTAAGCAGAGGTATCTTCTTCGGGAAGGATTGGACTTGTTCTGAAGTTTTCTTTGATTTGAGATTCTTGTCTATGATCCTAGGTGGAAAACTGTTTCCCATCAGGGTTCCTCGGAGATTACACAGTTCTCCGCCAATCACCATCTCGCTTCATATCTTCCGAATCCTCGGGGAAAGAGCATATGTAAAGTTCCTGTTACTGCTTAGGGGCACAAAGCTTTGAAAGTTGATGAAATGTCCATTCCATGTAGGCCTTTTGTATAGGGACCTTTTCAGAGAGTTGTTGGCGTTTCTTGTCAGATGGACAATGAGGAAGTGGAACATTCCATCAGATTTAGCTTCAAGAGTAAAGTTGATGTTTTGATGAACATTGTTGAAGGTTTGAAGTAGGTTTTTAAGCTCCAGGTTCTCATCACAAATGGTGAAAAAACCATCATTCGGGTATAACCGAGACACTAACCATCCAAAACCTCAAACCCACACTATCTATCCAAAAGAAAAACGTCCAACCCTTGTCCCTGCCATGGCCATCATAAACAGGTTATTCTTTTAATAATGACTATCCCATTGCCTTTCTTATCTAAACTTCCTGTCTATTCATGTTATTTTTGAGTTATTCTTCATCCCTAATTACACTAGCATATTTTCTATCCGAACTTCCTGTCTATTTTGTCATGTTATTATTTCCACATATTTAATCCCTGATTGCATAAACAATTATTCGTCACATTAGTTATGATCCCACTAGATTTTTTATCCAAACATCCTGTCTGTTTTTGTTATTTCTACATTCCTAACCCCTAATTGCACAATATGTCAATCTTCTCAGTAATTATGATGCTACTTTGTTTGAGTTTTATCCATCCCCCTGTTTATTATGGCATTTATTTCCTAATTATCATTTTATTAATTTGACCCTTGACCGGAAATTATTCTGTAACTTTCCCACCCATTTGATATAAATACACGAATGTGAAGCCTAGATGATGGCTTCATCAGAAAGAAAATTTTCTTCACTGCAAATGTCTCTTTATAGATTTTTCTGTCTTCCCCTTGTTGTTTATTGCCACTTACCATATCTCGCGTATGGGTGTTGTGTCCTTTCGATTTCATGTGTGTTGTGTTGTTGCATCGATAAACAAACATTCAGTGGTTAACCTCTCTCTCTCCACTCAACTATAATACTTTTTAATGCTTTCACCCTTTCTAACCTTATTATGTGATTACACATAATTGAATACAATTCAGTGGCCTAGCTTTCTTCGAGGTTATTTATTCAACTAAGCTGGGTCAACCATTTTTGGTCTAGCCAAATTTCTGTTTCGATAATCTAATTGACCCCTATCTATTAGTTTGACCTGTATAAGTTGACCTCACAGTCATATAACATGGTATTTGGTAGATTATATTATTTTTCTTAATTGGTTCTATTGGGTCCTTAAGCTAACAGCGTTTTTCTCTGAGGGAGTTGGTATAAATGCCACCCCCGACTAATTCCAGCCTTATTAAGAATCTTACGTTGGGCTCCTGATGTTTTTTCTTTATATGATAGTACTACAGAGACTTTGAGCTGTTATATTATTTATATTATGGAAGACATTCATATTATTATGAGCAATAATTTATGCTCGAAACGTCATCCATTTGTTAATACTGCGTTACTGTATGATATATGAAATGAACTTATCTAGTGGTAATGAGTTTGTTAACAATAGTTAGTGAATATCAACAAGTTGGAAGGCGGTTATGTGTGTGTGTGTTATAATTAAGAAAGGAAATTAGTGCAAGTATTGGTTTTGTAGGGATTTTGTTTGATTGCAGGATTTCACCATGAGCTGATACCAGTTAGAGAACCACTGGGAAATCTGGGAGTACTGGACAGCTGTTTCATCCTAGTTCGGGACTCTTCAGCAGTACGCACCCACCGGGGTTCGAACCCAGGACCTTCCGGTTACAAGGCGAGCTCGTATACCATTAAGCCACTGGGACCCTATCCAATGGTCCTTGAATTCTAACTTCTGCCAATTCACGACATAGCGCGACCACTTCGCAATGTCTTCTTCGATGATTTACTGCCTCATCTTCAACCTGCTGTACCCTACTGGTCACGGCTTCTCACTAGAACCCCAGGTTAACTGCCTGAATAGGGCCAGTCACTAGTGCAACAATTAAAGGGTAGAAATATTTGTGGAAATATAACAAGTGATTACGTAATGCATTTTGTATATGTTGAAAAAGATAAGAATAAGAACAAATGAGTGTGCAGGTCTTACAGTAAGATAGATGAAATAATAACAACTTATAAATGGCATAAGGGGAAGGTGGAAACGACCAACTTTATATTAATCTGAAAATTGGCCAATTTAGGGAAAGTGACTCTACTAAATTTTTTGAGAACATGTTCATGTATATTCCGGTGATTTCTGTTGTATATAGGAAGCAAAGTAAAGTAAAATCCAGCTCAGTGGGAATAAAATAGGTAACTCTAAGTGCTTTATTAGCGTTAACTCTACAATTTATAAAGTAGGCCAGAATAGAGTTACGTATTTGTCCCTTGCTTAACCATGCAGGTATATCTTATGTTATAATACGACACTGTTTAACTAGCTGTACACAGAGACCATGAAATTCGGTAGTTTATGCATGTTTCTCCATTGTAAAATTGATTTGATTGTGAAGTAAGTGACAGCACAACTCTGCTCTGTCGACGCCTCTTTTAATGGTATTATTTTAGTGTTATGCTATTATACCTCCCTAAAACTTCAGACATAAGGACAAGAGTTTCTTCGGAGGTTATGATTGGCCATTGAGTCTAATTACACTTAAATGTATTTTGGTTGTATTTTTTGAATGATGAAAGACTTTTGTTCATTTCACTTCTCTATTTGTGAATCCTCTTTCATTTCTTGTTGCTTATGTGGTGTTGTTTTAGGTTAAAGCGGCATTGACACGTACATATAACAAATCATCTCATTTATTGCCATATGTCATCTCAACTGGTGGTTCTTTCAAACGTAAACGTGGTGGCGGTGGTGCTGCTGCTGTTCCTGCAGGTTTAGAAGATGAAGATGATTCTGCTTTATTCGATGATGGTGAAGAGGAAGAAGAAGATGCAGTTGACTTGAAGAATGATGCTATGATCTCAGTATGTTATAAGTCATTTCGCGGTTTGCTTTTGATGTGATTTCGGTAGTCTCTAAATTTGAATCTCTATGTAAAACTAGACAGTCTACATAAACACCTAAGGAGAAGACTGCAGAGGGTTCTGTGGTCATCATTTCAACTAATGGAAGCGAAGTTTAGAAAGTTCAGCAACTGTTATTTCTATTTTGGTCGTTTCTTTGCATAAAGCTTATTCAAGCTTCATTCTTTGAAGTCTCAGTTGCACTGGTGTTGTTTTCACGGAGTGGGGTTGTTGGCTTGACGCCTAACCTTCCCAGTTTCCCAGTATTACCTTAGGCTGGTAAATTCATTGGGTGGGTTTACGAGTGTCTCAAACGAGAATCCAAAAGTAGACCACGTGCCTGGTTGATGAGCATTTTACCACCGAGCCACTGACGCACTAATTGTAACAGTTATCGTCTAAGCTGTCAATGAAATATTGAAACTACCATTTGAACTATCGCTTTGGATGATTACTGATCTAAAACATTTTCTTTTCTGTCTTATCAGGTTAAAAAGACGGATCCGAAAAAGCGCACAAACACAGAAAAATCTAAACCGCAAGAAGACCGTGCTTCATCTTCTGATGCTGCTTCTGGTAAAGGACGTGGTCGAGGTCGTGGTAGGGGACGTGGTCGTGGAAAAGATTGAATTCATTCAGTCTTTCATTTCTGTTTTTGTTCTTATTACTGTTCTTGTTGTTATCGTTTATTATTATTACTATTTTTTTCTTCTTCTTTTCTGGAGACTACAACACCTCTCATCATATTTCTCAATTTTGTACAAAATATATAAACCACAGATTTGTCTTAAATAAATTTTCGTCACATTATTCATTCATATTCATTGCCACTCAGATTTCATTCATTTATGCTTAAAATTGTTGGCATTTGTACTGCATTTTTATAAAAGAAAAAATGATCTCAATGAAATAAATGTTATGCCATTTTACATACCTTGTGTTTTGTTTTAATTCAGTTGTGTGTGCGTGTTGACATTTGTATTTTATTATACTACTTTTTGATCACAGAAATGAGTTATTCCCCCCCCGTAATTTCTTTCTGTATATGACTTACTTTTGAGTATTATGCTTTATTCGCAATTATGGCATTGAGTGGGGGGGGCATCTGTGCCTCTCTAGTTCGGGGCTCTTCAGCACCAACCATAGTCTGAACCTTGAAATTTCCGATTGCAAGGGGTGCTCATAGACCTTCCAGTCACTGGAACCCGATCCAATGGCTCATGAATTCCCACCCCTGTGATTTCGCGATCTACAAACCGTAATCACTAGCCAATGTCATCGACAAGTAACCGTCTTCTCACCTGATTTAGTGGACCCCACTCGCTATCAATTGGCTCTATACAGGAACAAAGAGAAATCATGACCAGTGCCGTCCACCAAGTCAGGTAAAAGGAAGATTACTTGCCAGTGACATTGGCTGGTGGTTGCACTATGTGTATATTCCATCCACACCGGGTCTAATTTAGCTAAGGCAGCGCGTTGTGGTAAACCCTTTCTAAACATGCTCTCAGTCGTCTCATGCAATGTTAGCTTTTAATTTCCATGATTGACTAGCCTATCTCATCTAAGATTATATCTCAAAGTCCCTTCTCTGTTGGTCTTTAGATATCGTCCATCCTTTCTAACATTATCACAAATCCCTATACTTCAATGATTTTTTGTGTTTTGACTCTGCCTAAATAAGAAACCTATCTTGGTATGGTATAATGTCTTATTCTAGTACATTATGAGTATCAGGAGGTGCACCACACGAAATATCATAGTTTGTGCAAGGGCTGGAATACATCCTGGATACCCAGATGGAAGCAGGTGGTTGTCCTGATGTAGTACACTTTGAGCCTTTGACTTGAAGTCTAATCCACAGGGAAGCACAGCAGCTTCAGGGCCTACTTCCCCGTGGTTACCGGTGTCCACAACAGGTTAATACGTCATTCATTCATTGGGATTTCTTGAGCTCCAGCTCCCCTAAGTAGATCAGCTTGTCCACCAATCCAGTTTTTAGGCGCCAAGAGTTCGTATTCACCCTTTCACTTACGTTAGAAACCCCACCACCGCTTAAAAGTAATGGTGGCTATGAACCGGTGGCCACATGAAAGCATTTCAAGAGGAAGATCGAAATCTTCTCACCCTTGACTATATCAGGTCGCTTATACGAGTGGCGTTATATTGTCTTGCTATTTATTGATCGGTATATTCAACGATGATAAATCATTGTCTGTCTACAAAGAAGGAATAGAAAATATATTGTCTAGTCTTTACTTTTCCAGGTTCTTACTGTTATTTCACAATTTGGTAGACTGCAAAAGTTTCCTGTACGCTTTCTTTCCTCCTATCTCCAGTCAGTTAAAAGTGAGATGCTTCTTTTAACCTTTACTTGTTACTTTTTCTACATGCTAGTGTTAATTTGTATGCATGTATTACTTAAGACTAATGTGTATTAATGTTAGTAGTAGTAGTGGTGTCCTCATTTGAACGTGAAATCGGTCACCATTGATTTATAAAACCAAGTCAAGGCATTGTGAAAACTACCAGACAAATATACATTAATCTTGCCGATCAATAAAAAAGGACATTTTATGGCTTACTAATAAGCCAGAGTAAGTAACTATCCGTTAAACCAGATGTAAAGACAGTAATTGTAAACACTGTGTCTATAATTAAGGGGTGTTTTGTCAGTTGGGTCAAATTTATCCACTACACTCAATGTATGAGTTACCTGGAGAGGGGGATAGTTTGTCTTTTTCGATTACACTTAGTCGTAAATGTGGAATCAATCCATGAAGTATTCGACTGCTGGTTTCAGCCATGTAGAGAAGCGGAGACTGTTTAGTTGGATCCTCGGGCTGCTAAGAATCAGTGACTGAAGACTATTGATGATATGGTTGAGAATTGTTCTCAACGGCGCAGATGCATTCATCCTTTGTAATTTTCTAATTTCTTCAAGTTCTCATGTTTTTCCACTTTACTGCTTTTTCACTCCAGTACGTTTCTACTCGTTTTGTCTACCTTTGTGTTCTACATGATGTGTGGTACCTTGAACTGGTGCACTTTTGTGCGCAAGGTCCTACGTTTAAACTCAGTTGGTCGGTGTATACGGCTTTCCAAACTTTCAACAATAAACTATGCTCCTCTCCTTGATACTTTTTGAATTAACATATTGAGACTGACTGATAGTTCTCAGAAGAACAAAAACTACACTGTGACACTTATGAAATGCTAGACTTTTCGATCAGAATTACAAATCTGTTTATTGTTTTTGAATATGTTTACTCTTCTGTCGAAATCTTTAACATCCCTAACTTGAATATAATAATACTAATAATGTTAAAAATAAGAATTAACATATCAGTTCGCTTACATACATAATTCGTATCAACACTGTCTAAGAAGAAATCAATAAAGGTAAGGGTAATGAATGAAATCAATACTGTCAGTGGTTTTTCATAGCACACGAAAGAATAAAAGATATGGTAAAGTGATATTTAGTTGATATGGCGAATAATAAATACAGTGTAAGTAAATATGCTTTAATCCTAATTCATCCGTTGCTATTAATAGTTTCAACAATCCTGCCAGAAATCTGTAATTTCGTTTACCTTTGTCATTAGGCATTATAGTTATAGTTTTACCTTATATTTTCGTGTGGTATTTTAGTTGTTTTTATTTTGACTGTCGTTTTGCTTCGTTTCTACTCACATTTCTCTTTTTTTGTTTATCAGTTTAAGGTTAGGCTAAGAAGAATGAACGTGTAGTTAGTTGGATGGTTTTTGTTAATATTTCTTAGTCAGTTATTGAATATGTCGCATGCGTCTATGTTTCGATAGTCCAGTGGATTTTGACAACCAAGCGGAAGGTCCAGGTTCGATTACCGGTTGACGGACTCCTAAACCATGCCTAGTTGAATGGTCAATGGTAAACCTGGAAAAGACAGTAAAATGGGCGTGTTGCTAGCATCTACCCACCCTATGAAAAACACAACTCTTGCAACCTCAAATGCTTGAATCTGTATGTTCTACTCGAAAGAGAAAGCAGTGAAGAAATAAATGTAACATTACAGTGTTTCACAATTACAAAGAATTTGTTTGAAACACGAGTGCGATAAGACACGAAGTAATTGAATCAAGAATATTATTTGGTCACAAGATTTTGTAGGACGATAAAGACTGAACGAATCGATGTCATTGTAAAGGGTTTTTTGTGAATTAATTCAGTTTTAGATTTCCCCGTCGATTGATTGGACCGAAGTGCTCGGTTTCAGGTTGATGAGTCCGATATAGGATGAAATGCGCATCTTGGATTCCACTGCGAGTCACCATCCATCAATTAACTCCCAATTATTTGGCCAGACATCGTCGAAGGGTCTGCACAAGAAACCGACATCTCAACCTGAGACCGAGTACTTAGGTCCAATCAATCGACGGGAAAATCTAAAATTGGATTAAATAATTAATAAGACCCGTTGCACAAGAGGCAGTGGCTCTCGTGGCCCAAGTGGTCTAGTGGATAACTCTTTGGGGTTCAAAACTACGGGCAGTGGGTTCAAGTCTCGGTATGAACACCATCACTCATTGGGGAATGCAGGTACAATCAGTGGCGAGTCTCAAATAGGACGAAATACACTTCCTTGACTCTACTGCTAGTCACCATCCACCAATTAACTTCTGGCTTTTTGTGATGTTACAACGTTTTAGATCATTGATTTCTATCGTCTAGAGGGATCACGGTGGCTGAGTAGTCTACGACCTAATCTCGTAACTGGAAGGTCCTGGGGCCCGAACCCTCGCAGGTAAGTACCGTAGAAGAGTCCCAAAATGGGAAGAGACAGCTTTCCAGTACTCCCTGATTTTGCATCGATGTTTCCGAGATAGGATGCTCCCTAATCACCTGCGTAGTCCGGGATCTGATCCTCGGCCGACATACTCTTAAACCTCGCTAAGCCGGCATCAAGGCCGGTAAAGAAGGAAGGTTGGGTGGGATGCTAGCAACCCCACTACATAAAAGTAAGTCACTTTCACCGAAACTTCAAAGCTGTAGCTTGAAGCCCTATGTTCCACTCGGAACGTAATGGGAAAAAATATCACCTAGGGAATTTTAACAAAGATCGACAGTTATTGAACTCATAAATTACTCCTGTTTGTGATTCAAGTTACCATTACTGTAAACTAGATGTTTCCTTTGCATACCTCTACATGTAAGCCGTTTCAGCCGAAGTATATACGTAATTTCATTGACATACTCGCCTTCTCTATCTTTATTTGCGTCTAATTTTGCTATTACTCATTCTCTGGTTCCATCACTTTTGGGCAGTTTTACTTAAAGATGTATGATCATTTTTCCTTTCATCACTGATCTATCTTAAAAACAAATAAGAATTTAATTTAACAGTTTAATGAGGCATCAAATATGTACCGTTTAGGATTTTTCTTGAACATGACTGTTAGTTAATATGTCAGTTCTGATGTCATCTTTGATGCTTCTTCATTAGGAAATGGAAATTTGGTTCGACTAACTCATTTCTTATTGTTTGTTAAACTAAAAGTCTATGAAATTCAATCTTATATGTGTATTTTATTCCTCATCATGTTGTAATCTTACACAATGGATCAACATAGAAAAATGACGATAAATAGTAGGAGTAGTAGCACTAGTTTTTATAGGATTGGAATATTCATAATGGTATATTGTTTTGATAAAACTTTGTCCAGTGAAAAAAGTTATCATAAATATTCTTTAGTGAGTCACTTTGATTTTGTTTTTCAAATTTATCTCATTAGTTTTATTTTACTCTATTTTTTACTGGATTATATAACAGATTGTAATATTTCATTCATATCAATGGTAACTGATTCAAGAGTTCGTATCGGTACACATGATGGACGTTTTCATGCTGATGAAGTTTTAGCTTGTGCAATGCTTAAACACTTACCAGAATATGCCAATGCTGATATTATACGTACACGTGACTCTAGTATCTTGTCAACTTGTGATATAGTCGTTGATTGTGGTGGAGTGTTCAATGCAGAGAACCATTTATACGATCATCATCAAAGGTGAGTCAGGGATCAACTGTTGTCGTTACCATTATTATCATTATTATTATAAGTGGTAGTGTGTATGTTAAGATTTGGATTTTCAGCACTAATCTCAAGTCTGTTAGTGATTCTGTATGGTTCAGAGACTTGATGAGCGTATCAATAAGAGCAAATAGAACAGCTGACTTCAAACTTCTATCAACAACTGCCTTCTCTGACTCCTCGGTGAAGCTAAGATAGCTGGACAGAAGGAATGAGCGAAAAAGACCTCTATCTATCAAGAACGCGTCACCCAAAAAATATGGCGAAGAAAATGGAGATGGATTGGATACACGTTGAGCAACACCGCGTGCCAGGCTGGCTTCGAGGGGAATCCGAATGAGAAACGAAGAGTTAGGTGTGCGTCCGAGGGTGGTATGGAGTAGACCATGTAAGAAGGAGATATTTAGGTGGTTGTGTTCTCTGAGCTGGATAGTTGATTTGCGAAGCTTTCATTGCTTTACTAGGAGACATCTTCAGCGCATACTTCAATTTGATGAAGTGAGCTCTTAGATTTCTCCACGAGTTTATTAATCATTTCTCCTGGTGACCTTGGAAGTGATTGGTTGTTTTTGTGTGTTTTCACACCTTCTAGGTTACTTGTATTGGAACTGATTGTTTCTTTGACTTAAACTTTGACCCTTTGTGTGTGAGGTTTCTTTCTTATCGGTTGATAAATTTTGTCTATCTCGATGTGTCTTTGATTGATGATTCACTGGAATGCCAAGCTTCTAAAAATTCTCTAGCATTCTTGTTATTTCCTTTGTCTAATATTTGAACGTTGTCCTAGTCGAATTGATGTCCGTGGTTGTCTGTATGTAGTGATATGAGCGAGGGAGTGGATATCATGTCTTTTGACAACTAGCTTATGTTCGTGGATACGAAGACGAAGGGGATGTCTACTTTGGCCAATGTAGTGTTCTTCGCAGTTGTCACAATTTATTTTGTAGATGATGTTGGTTTTATCTTCTTTCACTGTTGAGTCTTTTGGATGACATAGAATTGAGTGAAGTGACTTTGTTGGTTTGTGCACGACGTCAATTCCTAAAGGTTTGAAGAGTCTTGTAGTGATCTCTGAAATATCCTTTATATGTGGTAAGGCGATTTTCTTTGTGCTTTCCTTGGGTTCTTTTGGTTTGATGGGTTGGCTTGGGGGTATATGTCTCTTGATGAAATTCCGTGGATATCCATTCTTTTGGAGGACGTCCGTGAGATGACTTTCTTCAATTTTCCTTAATGTGGGAGTGCTGCAATGAATCCTCGCACTCTTGAATAAGGAGATAATAGCTTATAGGCAATCGTTGAACCAGCTTAAAATGACTGTAGCGAACAGTATGAAATAGTGATGGGCTGTCGAAACCTCATGTTCCACTGGAAACCTAAAGGAATAATAATATAATCGCTGTTATTCTCGTTGGGCTTGACTTCTTAATATTGGTATTATTTTGTTTTCTGTTTTATTATAGAGGATTCACTCTTACTTATAAGGACTTTTTCCCAAAATCTGATTGGGATATTAAACTCAGCAGTGCTGGTTTGATATACGTTCATTTCGGTAGGAAAATATTATCTTGTATACTTGGCAAAGAAGATATTACTGATCCATTAGTGGATGCTCTTTTTGAAAAGGTAATTTTTATGCTGTTTTTTATTTCTTTTTCTGATTTGTCTCTTTGAACTGAGTTTAACTGACTATATCACAAATGATCTCAGTCCGATGTTCAGATTATTTTTATATGGCTAGCAAGCACTACTGTACTGCTTGATATTAGTGGTTTCTAACTACTCAGTATCACCATGTTCTTTCTTTTCTTATATTTTAACTCCATACATCATGCAGATAAATATTTACACCTAATATCTCTCTTTCAGATATACAATTCATTCATTGTTGAAATCGATGCTATTGATAACGGTGTCCCGTTAGCGTCATCAACGTTAAGGTTAGTTGTGATGCCTCTCCTTTTATTTGTTCAATAATAATTATTTGCAATTATTGGTTTCGCAGAGATTTGATTAATTTCAATTTTGATCACCAGTAAACCTCAATTAGAGAACTATTGTAAACTAGGGAGTGCTGGAAATCTGTTTCACCCTTGTTTGGGGATCTTCAACAGTACGCACCCATGACTACTCCACCAGGGACGTAACTCAGAACTTTCAGCTTACGATGTGGACTCATATACTCTTCAGCCACTAGAACGGAATCCAACAGCCTAACGATCCTTCATTTCCACTAATTCGTGAAACACCACTACCACTAGCCAATGCCATTAGTATCTATCCTCATGCCCTACTTTGTGGAAGCTGTTGATCAAAACTTCCACTAGAACCTCGAGCAACTTCACCTTGTTTCTTCTAGCAGTTCAGTACTATCTTGTTTACAATACTTGTGTACCTGGAACCAATTTGTGATTAAAATTGAAAAACCATGTAATATTTCTTGTCAGAATTAAAACGATAATTGTTTTTGATTTCTGTCTTTTCTTCATAGATATTCCATCAATACATCTCTAAGTAGTCGAGTGAATCGTTTGAATCCAGCCTGGAATGAACCAGATGTCGATGAAAATGTAAGTTGCACTATGTGTTTATTCTGTCTTTTGTAATGTATTGCATGAATTATTAATATTCCTAATAATAAGTTCAACTTTCAACTTTTAGCTAACTCTGTCATGAATCTGAATTGCCTGTCACCTATTAAAGTTTAGCTGGCTTAATGTACTTGTATTACTAGCCTTTGCTTTACAGTGTTTTTTTTAATCTAAATTGTCATTCGACTAAATTAAATTACGAATTTGGGTTCAGGTCTCTTATTTTAACAGTGAGTGTCAACAGGAGTTTGAGTTTCATCTGGGACATCATTTTCTTAAGTTTACAGTTACACCTTACTGACAAGTTTTAGAAAGCACAAAGCTTAGACCCACAGCTTCCTGCCAATCGTCTCCAAACACAAAGCATAGTAGTTTTATTCTGTTTTTCTAGGCATTCATTGTTTAGAGAAGAAGATGTTTTCACAATTCGTATACTTATCAAATTCAACACATCTTTATTGATTCACTCATTTAACAACTCAGAATTACCCCTCATTCTCAAGAACCGTTGTCAAACCGAAACTTGGAACCAATCCATATAATATTTAGCAGTTAGTTTGAGTGTCGGTGGCGCAGCGGTTAGGACGCTCGCCAACCATGCACATGGTCCGGGGTTCGATCCCCGGCCGACGCATTCCTTTACCTCGCTAAGCCAGAAATAATGCTGGTACAGAGGAAAGGTTGGGCAACCCCATCCTGTTAAAAAAAATTAAACACTGCTACAGAAACTTGAAGCCCTATGTTCCACTGGGAACGTGAAGGAAAAAAATTACTTTTTTTTATTAGTTTGAGCCAACCATGTAGGGTGGTGTAGACTGAATGGTTAGAGTGTTCGGGATAGTAAAAACCAATGGCTGGAGATAATTGGCAATGTAGCTCAAAAATGTTCTTGATGGCACAAATGCATTCACCTTCTGGGTTCTCTAAAATTCACTGAGACGTTATGTTTTCCCACTTTACTATTCCATCTGCTTCATATTTCTTTTTAATCGTTGTTTCGAATCTCTTTCTTTCTCTCTTTCGTCCATCTGCATGTACCAAATGGAGTGTTAGCAACTTGAACTGTTGCAGTTCTCTGTTGAAATCAGTTAAATAGTCAGTTACCTGTCTATTGGCCATAAGCTTGTTAGCAATAATTAGTCAGTATCAACGTATCAAACAGGAATAATAATTGATCAGGAAAATTAATGCAACAATTAAAGTTTAGAAGAATGTTTATAAAAAGTAGACAAGTATATTACGTGTAATACATAATTGTGGAAAAAGAATAAGAGTAGTGAGTTGATTACTAGAGAAGCAATTAAATATGAAGTAAGCACAATAACAAGATACTTAAGAAGATAATAACGTGCAGATAGTTTAGAAAGAGAGAAAGAGGGAAGTTGTCAGCTTTGCACATTCAAATAATGATGGTAAAGTGGAGGAAAGTGGTTGAACGAATTTCTTCTGAGTGCACAGGTTCGGTTTCTTCTATTTGACTTCGATTACTTTTACTCTATGAAGAAGACGAATTCTGGCTGGTTGGGGTAAGAAAGATAACTATGGATGGCTTGATAACATCACTATTGATTTGCTGAGATTTGATTGATTTCAGGTTAGGTAATGAACTAACATTTATTAGAGAACTACTGAAAATCAGAGAATATTGGACAGCTGTAATGTATCCGTGGTTGCAATGGGGATTGAACCCAGAACCTTCAGATATCCAGGTGATCGCCTAAGTATTCACCTACTGAAATTGGATCCAATGCCTTCATTGGTGCGTGTTGTTGAAGAGCCCAAGACTGGGACCAAACGGTTGTCAAGTTTTCAGTGGGCGTCTAACTTGATCTAGGTCTAACTGAAAATCAGTTTATTCCCTGCAAACGAGCAATTGGAAATCAACCCAGTGGTTATTACTGACTGACTACGAGAAGGGGTATTCTATTGTAAGTTCGTGACCAGTGGAGGAATCCAACAAGTCGGTTGTTAGGACAAATATTCACCTATAGATTTGACGCTGTGTGCCGCAAATTAGCAAAAGGTAGAATTCATATGCTTTTAGATCGTGTTTCAATGACTGTGAATAGTCAACAGGTTCGCTTGTATTAGTAGACATGACTAAAGTAGGTGGAGTGCAGTTCTAATCCAAGTCGTATAGATTGAAATTTTGACAGCTCACTTGTGTTTTGTGCTGGGATTTCGTGTAAATTATGTTGAATGACAACAATAAGTGAAGTCTTTTTGTACTAAAACCTGTATCGTTCTAAATTTACATTTCTAGTCGCTGGCATAAGTTGCGCATAACACGTACCTTGCTATTGTTACCAATAATCTGTTAGATTTTTGGTTTTAAAATTTGACATTATTATTCATTTCATTTCTTTGATTTCTCAGTGGAACATAGGGCTACAAGCTAGAGCTTTGAATGAAGTTTCAGTAGCAGTGGTGTTTAATTTTTTACACAGTAGGATTTATTGCCACACACACATGCACACTGAATCTTCCCTCTTTTTATTGGGTAAACTACTGGAGTGCGTTAGCCGGGGATCAAATCCCAAATCAGTTACTTGGTTGATCAGTAGAATCACTGATGCATATAGCTTTAAAATAGTATAGTGCAGTAAACTTCACTGGCATATAGATCGTCATTATTTTGTTAGTGAAATTGTCATCTCTGTTTGTCTAATGCTTCACAATTGTAGACTTTTGCATTATCATATGTAAAACATAGAAAAACAACTAGTTCAACAATTCGAATAATTTATACAATTGCCCACAGATGTTGGTTGGATCAATAATGTTAACTTCTCCGCTAATATCTTAATCCAAATGCTAAAACCTCTCACATTGAACATAATGTTCAATATCTGTATAATTTTTTGTGTTTTTTTTTATTTTTTAAAGGTTTGTTTTCAAAATGCTCTACAATTAGTTGATAACGAATTTGTTGGATTAGTTCGCTTCTATTCAAATTCGTGGTATCCTGCTCGTGAAATTGTTTTAAAAGCTGTGCAATCTAGATATGCAACAGATCCATCTGGAGCAATAATTCATCTTGAAGGTGCTGGATGTCCATGGAATGCACACTTTTTTGAAATTGAAAAATCTATAATACGGAATAAGAATAATTTAAGTGGAAATCATTGTCAGGATGATCATAATAATGGCGATGATGACGTAATGTTATATGTGATATATGAGCGTAAAGACAGTACATGGGGTATACAAGCTATACCATTGGATGAACATAATACATTCACCCAAAGGTAAGTAGATATCTTTTCATTTCATATCTGTTAGTCTTCTTTTTTTTCAAATTACCTTTCATCACAGATCGACACCAAACTGGAGGATTTACCGGAACCAATGACATGTTTCGACCCGGTTCAGGTTTCCTCATCAGTATGAATCTGTAATAAATGCACAGATCATTTGATTCTATCACAGTTGTCTCACTACATAGAGTGATGCATATTTACTTTTGAAGCGTAATTTTAAATGATTTTCCGACTGATATTCGTATGTAGTGAAAAACAATTTTAAATTGTTGAGTGTTGGTCCGCAAGGATTTCACTAATTTCATTTAAAGAACTACTGAAAACCAGGGACTCTATGGACGGATAGTTGTCTCATCCTTGTTTGAGACTCTCCACAAAAACAGCACTTAGCTGGTGGTCGTGCTAAAGTCATAATTTGGTAGCAGTTAGAGTTCGTGGGCCATTGAATCGGGTCCCAGTAGTTGAATGCTCTACAAGCGTCACTTGTACCCGGAAAGTTCTGGGTTCATAATCCGATAGGCGCGTACCGATGTGCCTCAAGCCAGGAAGAAACTGCTGTCCAGTACTCCAGACAGGTTTTCAGTGGTTCTCTAACTGATACCAATCCATGATCAAACTTAGAAATTAGTCTAGCGCTCATTTAGTGACTGGCTACAGCATAGAGTACGTGAATTTCTAGTGAGGAGTTGTAACTGATCGGATCCACCAAGTTCGTTGTGAGGACATGCGCCCGAATGACACTTCTTGGAGCTGGCGATATATACCGCAAATTGGGAGAATTTTGAATTTTCTGATCATTTGATTCCGTCCTAGTGAGTGACAGTAGTCGATGAGCTCGCCTTGCAACCTGGTTGGGTCACTGGTGCTCGCAGTTGATGGGTCCCAGACAAAGATGAAACAGCTATCCAGTGTTCCCTAGTGATATGTATCCACATAATATGTGTGTTTGTTTTTGACATTCTGTTATATTTTGCTATGTATATATGGATCGATATTCCATTATAATTGACAATATGTTTTTGTTCGTCCACTAACTAACAAACATGTCTGACCTTGTTGTCACATGACATTACAACCAATCGTGTTAAGACTGTCTATTGATTCGTTCATTTTTTAACATTCGCTCATACACTTGTGTGACATTGATTTTCCTTGTTTGAAAAATACAAGTATCATCGTGAACCTGGTGGTTTTCTGATTTCCTCCTTCTTGCGTCAGGACTATTAATTACTCGACCAGTAAAATTATTGTTATGTACTGGTCGAGTAATTAATAGTCCCAGACAAGGACGAAACAGTTATCCAGTGTTCCCTAGTTTTCAACTGTTTGATAACTTAAGACATTTTATAACCAATACTGAAATTTTAAACTCAGTAATTTGCCTAAAATATGTTCTTAATGATTTTTCTATCTAACATTTTTTGTAGGCTACCTTTACCAGAGAGTTGGAGGGGATTACGTGATGAACAGCTAAGCTTAATTGTTGGTATACCAGATTGTGTATTTGTACATGCTACTGGATTTCTAGGAATTCATAAGACACGTGAAGGTGTTATTCAAATGGCTAAATTAACTATGAAAATGAAGAATAAATAAGTTGTAGTAACGTGTCATAATTTTCTTGTCATTTCTTTTGATGATTTTTATGATCCAATATATGTATGCATCCCTCTTTCTGTGGTGTCTTTGTTTTCATTGGAAATATATCATACATTAAGGACATCCAATGGACTAACTAAGCTATTGGATAGCGTATATCTGGTGATCAAGGAGGTTCTTTACTCCTTAATTAATTCGTTTAGATTAGTAATCAACCCTGTTTCTGAGAAAAGAAGACAAAACTTCTCTATAACCGCTTTAATTAATAATGTCGAAAATTATAGAGCCCATAATTAGTCAAAAGCTAGTAGAGTTTATGAACGACAAACTGTGAGATGCGAAAATATCAACATATATAACATAATTTACAAAATAACACCTTGCTATGACTGTGAGGTCAGCTACATAGGTCAAGGTAGGAGATTAGAGGTAGGCAGATTATCAGAATATAAGAATTTAGCTAAGCGGAGAATGATTGACCCCGAGAAGATAAGTAATTTAGACAAAAAAGCTTAGCAATCGCACTTTATGCATTAACACACACGACCACATAATAGGGTGAAGCAGAGTTACCATTCTAAAGAGTAATATAGACAGATGGAGAGGCTTCCTTGTTCATCGAATGACTCATCACTAATACCGGAGATATGGAAAATAATGGAATTATATATATATATATATATGAATTCCGAAAGTTGTGTGAGTACTTTGATATAAATTGTGCTCGAAACGTGGTCATCAGTAAATACTTCTGTATAACATGATGGAATTATACTTTACCACAGTTCCCAAGTTCTATTCCTATATTAGTGATTTCTCAAAATAGACTATTTGAAAATGTGTAGGTAGGTCAGGAGTCTATCGGCTTTTCCATCCTACTTTAAGTGGTGTCCAAGATATCATGCCAAGTTGTATGAAGATCTATGAAATAATATTTTGAACTAAATTTGTTCGCCATACATTAAGTGAAAACCTAGTGACAGTGACATTGCATCAATATGATTCTTTTTCCTACTGCATTACCATTTTCAAGTGTTAATCTGCAAGGAGTTGACTGATTTCAAGATAGATATCAGTTAGAGATTCATTGTAAACCAAAGAGTACTGAACAGTTGTTTCTTCCTGATTTGGCATTCTTCATCTGTACGTACGCATACCTCCACTATGGATCAATCCCAGGATATATTCATGTTACTTGGTGAGCTCGTGTATCATTAAGTCGCATTACCTTTTATTGGTTACCAACTTGGTTCTAAACGATTGGCTCTAGATGACCAGGTTTCACTCGCCGTAGATACCAAATACTTTAACTGTACTGCATAGTTTCCCACTTGTCATGGTGTTTCAAGTGTGGTTTCTCTCTACTAATAGTAAGTATGTCTAGAAATCATCCGTAAAACGTTTAATTGCTGTCTCAGTGAGGTGATTCGGAATACCTATTGCAGTTACCCAACGCATGACGTTCTCTATCATCACTAACAGCTATTGGTCACTGCTCAACGTTTGAGGGAGAGGGCCAATCATATCTACTGACCACAAATCATCTACTAGAATCGATTGTAGTTGTGACCGACTGTGTTCGTTCACCTTTTATTAGTTCGCATTTTGAACAGGCGAGGACATAATCTGCAATATTATCTCTTACGCTAGACCAGTACACAATTTAACTCACGAGATCATATGTTCTCGAAATGCCTTATATGGGCTAGGTAGTAACGTGCTTGGATAAACTCCTGATGAAGGCAATTCAGAATCACTGTTACCCCCAGCTTAACTACTAGGTTAAAATCAATAAGCAATAACCTATTTGAACTACGCGATAGAACCATGTACAGTCGCAGTAGTTTCAGTCGAAAGTATACTGATTTTATAGCTAGTGTCAAAACTTTTCGTCGAACTATGTGACAGTTCATTTAGTACCTTTAGACAAATTCAAGTGTTTGATTTTAATACAATGAAGCTTATTTGTCTTAGTGTTCAGGTTTACCTTTAGGTCGAATTATATATTCATTTGACCTCAGAAATTGATGTAAGTTGACATCTAATAGCCAAAAAATTCTTATTAATCTAATCGACATGTAGTCTATAATATTAAAACCAAAGACAACCAACCAGTTTATAAACTCAAATGGTTTTTAGGAAAATGATGCGTACAAACAAGAATGATAGTATATTAGGCTTAAATTATCCTTCAAGGAGGAGATGAGAGATTATGGGCAATCATGTACTAAGCTGAAGAGGACATCAGAAAATAGAACAAAGTGGAGATGCATTGTTGAAGCCCTATGTTCTACTCGGAACCAAAGGGGATAATTAATGATAGTAATAACGATCCTCCAACCCAAATGTCATTATTTACCGTGGAGCAATAGACAAAGAGTTAATAAGCCAAATGAGAACTATAGCTGAATAGTACAAAATATGTCTCACATCTCATGTTTGCTTAGCTGCCTAAAGATTGTTTACAAATAACCGAAAGTAATACAACAACTTGGCAAGTGCAAAGAATCTATAATTAACAGGAGTAAGAATAAATATATGAAGGATAATAAGAATTCAACCTCGCCAGATACTAGCTTACTAGTTTTCTCGCCGGTCCCAAGCCCGAATAAAGAAGGAGGGTTGGGGCGTGGTGCTAGCATGTCCACCCCTGTAAAACAACCAAATCGCTACAGAAACTTCAACGAATAAATATATTAAAAATTCTAAAAACATAAGCAATAGCCTTACTTTTCGCTGGAATCGAGGAAGTGAAATGACGCAGGCTGGTGGAAGCCTTCGGGAAGCCAGTCAGCCGATGTGCCTTCTTTCGATGAATGCAAAAGTAAGGATGGGTACCTGGAATGTTCGTACAATGTACGAAACTGGAAAGGCTGCCCAGATAGCCGCTGAAATGAGAAGGTACAGAATAGAAGTGTTGGGAATCTGCGAGAGCAGATGGAACGGAACTGGAAGGTGCCAACTACCTACTGGAGAGACAGTAATCTATTCCGGCCACCTAGAGGACAACCACGAGCACACCGAGGGAGTGGCCATCATGATGTCACCAACAGCAACCAAAGCTCTCATGCAGTGGGAACCAATCTCCTCCAAGATAATGACAGCCAGGTTCAACTCAAAAGGAAGGAAAGTTACAGTCATTCAATGTTATGCGCCTACAAACGTCTCAGAACAAGAGAAGAAGGAGGCGTTCTACAGACAACTACAAGCAATAATGGACAACGTCCCAAATGGCGATAACAAAATCCTGATGGGCGACATGAATGCGAAGCTGGGACGAGACAACACAGGAAGAGAACTCACCATGGGTCGAGAGGCCCTCGGCGAAATGAACGACAATGGTGAACTCTTCTCAGACTTCTGCGCCTTCAATGATTTGGTGATTGGTGGCAGCGTTTTCAAGCACAAAGACATACACAAGACGACATGGATTTCACCAGATGGAAACACCAAAAACCAAATAGACTTCATCTCAATTTCAAGAAAGTGGAGACGGAGCCTACTTGACACAAGGTCAAGGCGAGGAGCAGATGTGGGTTCAGACCACTATCTAGTAGAAGGGACTTTCAAGGTAAAGCTAAAAGCCTCGAGGATAGCTGGGGATAGGCCACAATGCGTCCAGAAATACCAACAACAGCGCGCACACAACTGCAAGTTGACACCAATCCTCCAACGAGGGCTGAAGTCTTGAACGCAATCAAACTTCTGAAAGCTGGAAAAACAGCCGGACCAGATGGAATACCCCCTGAAGCACTGAAAGCAGACCCAGAGACGACAGCAGACATACTGACTCCATTATTGCAAAAGGTCTGGAAGGAAGGAAAGGTGCCTACTGACTGGAGGAAAGGTTACCTCGTGAAACTACCAAAGAAGGGCGACTAACGCCTCACTCTGCAAGAACTGGCGAGGAATCATGCTCCTATCGACGCCAAGTAAAATCCTGAGTCGCATCATCCTGGAGAGATTAAAGGACGCACTGAAGACAGAACTCCGACCAGAACAAGCTGGATTCAGGAAAGGCAAATCATGTCCTGACCAAATCGCAACTCTACGCATCATCATCACAGAAGAGAGCATGGAATAGCACAATCAAACCTCTACCTCAACTTTATAGACTTTGAGAAGGCCTTCGACAGCGTTGACCGTGAAGTAATTTGGAAATTACTCGAGTACTATGGTGTACCCCAAATATTCATCAACCTTATTCAACAGCTGTATGACAACGGCACCTGCCAAGTGATCCACAACGGAAGACTAAGCGAGGCGTTTAGAGTAAACACAGGAGTCAGACAAGGGTGCTTACTATCACCAATGATATTCCTAATTGTGGTGGACTGACTGGATTATGCGTCAGACAGTGAGAAACGAGAAGACACGAATATCCTGGACCGACGTGAAGAACCTAGAAGACCTGGACTTCGCGGATGACTTGTGATGTCACACACAATCGAAGACTTACAAGCGAAAACCGACAAACTGGTCGAAGAAGCAGCCGGCGAAGACAGGACTCCAAGTAAACATAGACAAGACGGAGGTTATGAAAATAACCAACCAACAACAGCAACAACATCCAACGTCAATCACCATCAACGGGAGGGATTTGAAAGAGGTTACTTTATTCACTCACTTATCTAGGGAGCATTGTCTCAACTACAGGAGGAGCGGACGAGGATGTCAAATCGAGAATCGGGAAGGCGAGAAACACATTCATCAGCCTGAAATCAATCTGGAAATCTTCGTCATTCAGCATCACCAACAAAATTCGGATTTTCAATACAAACATCAAGTCAGTCAGTTCTTCTATACGGATCAGAAACTTGGCGGGCGGTCACAAAGAATATTTCCAAAAGGCTGCAGACCTTTATTAACAACTGTCTTCGCTCTATACTGAAGATCAGATGGCCGGAAAGAATCACCAACAAGGAATTATGGGAACAAACAAAGCAAGAACCAATCGCCCAACAAATATGCAGGAGAAAGTGGAGATGGATCGGACACTCGCTGAGGAGACCGCTGGGTGACATCGCGCGCCAAGCCCTCGAGTGGAACCCGAAAGGGAAGGGGCGCGTGGGACGTCTAAGGGTGACATGGAGGAGATCGTGTGAAGAGGAGTTGAAAGAATATGGATTAACATGGATGCAGGCGAAAAGTACAGCAGAAGACAGAAGAAAATGGAGACGTGCAGTTGAAGCCCTATGTTCCACTAGGAACCCAAGAAAGCAGTAAGTAAGTAATAAGAATTCAGTAGATCTGGGAGATTATATAAATTGAATGCATCTGTGACATTTACGAAGATTTTGAACCATTTAACCAATAACTCCCAGCTATTAATCCTTCACATTTCGAGAACCCCACTTAAGCAATCTCTACACATGCCAAAAAAAAACACTTCACAGATAAATAAGCTTAGGATGTAGGAAGTCGGCACCTTCTTTGACGAGGAATGCTAGCCAACATAAAGTTAGGTTGGAAAAGAGTTAGGAGTAGTGAAACCAAATCCTGGCATATCAAGCCATTAGATCTTTGGCTGTTGGTTTGAGCCGCGTAGGAGAATGTAGACTGCCTATTTGGAATCATCGGGATTTTAAGAACCAGTCGGTAATATCGCTCAAAATCTTCTTCAGCAGCGCTGGTGTATTCTCTGTTTGGAACTCCCCATCGACTATGAAAAGACCTTCGACAGTGTTGACTGTGAAGTAATTTTGAAATTACTTCAACATTACAGTGTCCTAAACCTTTATAAACCTCTTTCACAGCTCTATGACGGTGGCGTTTATCAAGTGGTCCATAACGGGAAACTCAGCAAAGCCTCTGAATTTAAGAAGGGAGTAAGATAAGACTGTCTACTATCACCTATAATATTCCCAACTGAACCGATAAGAAGACTCCAGAAGATCTAGAATTCGAGGATGATTTAATGTCTAATGCCACACAAACTCGAAGACTTACGGGAAAAAGCCAACAAGTTGGTAGAATAGGCAACAAAGACAGGACTTCAAGTAGACAGAGAAGATGGAAATGAGGGGGGGACCAGCTGAAGAGGACTGTAGAGGATAGGACACAATGGAGATGTCCTGTGTTCCATTCGAAACCCAAGAGGACAAGAATAATAATAATATCCATTGGACCCTCATGTTTTTTCATGCTAATAATCTTTCTCCTGTATATTTTCGCCTATGAGAGTACTTATCAATCCCTTCTTTTCTCTACTTTTGTCTGCTACATTGAGAGTGGAAACTTGAACTACTACACTTCTATACAAAGTTTTATGTTGGAACTCAATCAGATAACATACCTCTGACGTAACAACTTCATATAAATGAAAAACAGCATTGTACAGTATTCAAATATACTTTTAGATACCAAAAATAACAATTCAAGTCAATAAACTTCATCAATATCAAGCAAATATAGCTTGAATTTCTTATGTGATATACATATTACGCAAATATATTGAGCAATATTTATAATTATGACAATAATAAATGATAATAGAGATAGGAATGGTACATTAGGGAATAAAATATTGTTTTTCTTCTTCAAATAATGACTATAAAATAATAATTATTATATAGGGTAATAAATGCAAAAGATAAAAGTACACTTAAATCTTGGTGTTAGTTGGTAAAAAAAAATCAAATATATGTATATATATTGAATATTGAATCTTCTCTGAATAATACAGAAATATAATAATGATGAATATAAACAATTCATAAGGAAATAAGCAAGATATAGATGGAAAGAGAGACAGAGTAACAGCAATTATTATTATTACGCAATAATAATAAGATCTTATAACTGTCATTTATACTGTTTAACTCTACGCTGTACTTTCATATACCATGGTGTATTTGTATGTCTACGTCGTTTCTTTTTCACTTGATAGAAACGGCGTGAATGCTGTTGTTGTTGCTGCTGCTGCTGGTCCCGACCATTCCCATGTCCTGAACTGGTTATGGTTGTTGTCGTTTGTTCTGCAGGTTGATCAGTAATACTTCGATTTCGAAGATGATGATATACTGAACTTTTGAATAATGGAAATTTAATTTTCATACCTTAAAATTAGAAAACACAGCTAGTTTTAATTTGACCATATAATCAAAGTAATAATAAATTAACTAACTTTTTGAGAAGACTAGCTAAGTTGTTAAACATCAGCTTTATTTGGTTGATGGTAGCTAGCAGGTGAATTTAGGTTGAGCATTTTGTCCTACTCAGAACCAGTCAGCTGAATGTACTTGAATCCCAAGCGATTGAGGTTTTTTCTTATTAGATGGTTGGAGGAAGCTTTTGACTTAGGTTTCGTGCTTCTTAGCACTCACCAATATCTGTAATCTACAAGGAATTCATGTCTGTTATGAGATGCGAACTCGTGCCAACCAATGTTGCAGTCAGACACGCTACACACCGAGCTATTCTGGCTCGCGATTGACCTCCTGTAGGACTGTATTGGATACTTCGATTGGACACTAAGTAGTAACTAGTGTCATGCCTCTAGTCCTTTGTTTAGTGCAGACTGAATTGTATCAGTCAAGTTTAACGTCGTTCCCACTGAAACTTAGGCTTATTGACTTGAATACCAGTTGCGCCCGACCGACGAGTTGCAAATAGAACGAATCGTGCGTTCTGGATTCCACTGCTAATCATCATCAACCAAATAACATTACTTTAAGCTTCAGGCATCGTTGAAGCTTCTTCATTAGGAGTTAACGTGTCAGTAGATACCAAGAATTCAGGTGCAGTAAAATTTAATCAACAGGAAAACGACTTGACTGGAATCAGTGTTTATTATTTACAGGACTAGTAGGAAAATACAATTTCTAAAGTTACACCTTTCAAATGTTTGATTTGGTGAATACGATTAATCCAGAGATAATCTTTCTTTATTCCTTGCGTTGTCAGAGGAACACACAGCTTCACGCTTGAGCTTTACACTTTCAGTAGACGGTGGAGTTGTTAATAATAATAATAATAAATAATTTTTTCCTTCACGTTCCCAGTGGAACATAGGGCTTCAAGCTAGTGGCTTGAAGTTTCTGTAGCAGTGTTTATTTTTACAGGACGAGGTAGCTAGCCTCATGCCCAACCTTTCCTCTTTACCAGGATTATATCTGGCTTAGCGAGGTAAAGGAATGCGTCGGCCGGGGATCGAACCCCGGACCATGTGCATGGTTGGCGAGCGTCCTAACCGCTGTGCCACCGACGCATTGGAGTTGTTAACCTCATGCCCAATGTTCTCTCTTTTCTGGGCTCAATCAACAGTTGCTGACTTCATATGGTGGTCGGTCAAGAATAGCTTGATGACCCAACAAGATGCAAAAGTTGGGGCTAATGTTTCATAGGTTCTACCATAGGGTTAGATCAAAAGCAGTTACCACCACAGAGTGTAATCAATAACTGACCCTACTCCACACATACAGGCTTATAGTCATGTCATAGTGACTACACTTTTTCTTTAGAAACGATAATTTATTTTGTCATAGTATTTATATTCAACTCAATCACTCCGCGTTCCATTCAGAAGCGATATTATCAACATAACTATCACTGTAATTCATAGAATTATTATTAATATAACCAATAACCGAAATTAATATTAGAAGGCAATGAAAAGTATTTTAATTCAGTCTTTAGTGATACATTAAAGTCTAGAAAAAATAATTGATAATAATAATAACACTCATTAGAAATAGATGAAAAATAATTTTGAAAAGTCATTTACTCATAAATTGCGTTCTTCCTTTGGCTCGTAATTCCAGTAGATACTTTATTTCATGCTTAATTAACTCTTCTTCTGTAGTACACAAAAAGGAGTAGAAGGAAACGGTTATCTAATCATCAATACATGAGTAAGTGATAAATAAAAATAAATGAAATTCTGGGGATCGTGGTAGAACCACTGAATTACTGATCCTGTACTCTACTAGCTGAGTTATGAGACCCTAGGTCATCATTTCGCTGCAATCATCACAGATCCCAATGGTTCAGTGGTAGAATACTCGCCAACCATCCAACTAGTCTAGGGTTCGACTCCCAGCTGATGCACTGTTGATAAACTTGTTTAGCTGGCAGTAAACCCAGTCAGGTGTGAAGCTAACCATCCCATCACGTAAAAACAAAACACTACAGCTACTAAAACTCTATATCTCAAACTGATAGCTTTATGTTCCACTCGGAACGCAAAGGAATAAGAAGAATCACGAGCAATGAATAGCTGTCATGTGAATGACACACGTATCCGCCAGCTGCCCAGTTATGTGTTCTCTTGCCAGTCATAGTGAATTAGAAAGAGAGGAGCAGTGGCGATCGTAATGAAAAGACGACCTGGTTAGCAGTTAGACCTCATAGTTTAGGTGGTAGACCATCGGAACAGTCATTCAGTAGCCACAGGTTCGAGTCCTGTCATACTTCGCCTTCGATCGTCAACATCTATAACAGTCCACCAACTCAAAACTATCTCGAGTAGTCTCAACATTAATATACGTTTATACGTGCAATATGATACAAACAGAAAATGGTAAGCTTACTATAAAGATTCTCTATAAAATGTTTGCCTTGCATGCCAGTAAAATATCTTAGAAATGGTTTCAACTTTTCATTTAAATAACTAAAGAAAGAAGGGAATTGTAAGAGAAATGATTAGATTAGCATAAACTTTAAAGTGAAATAATTCACACTGGATGGATAATCTAAAGGAGAGAAATCGTACTACCACTAATAATAATGATAATAATAATAATAAATTCAAGGACATTATTAACTATGACTGATTGACTGGTCTCAACATTGAACTTTGCACAGATGTGCAGCAGTTCACGTTGTCACACTCCATATAGCACACAAAGCAAGAGAATGGAGTAAAGTGAGATTCAAAAGAAAAATATGAAATATATTTAGCTTTGGAATTCCGAATGGAGGGAAAGTAGGCTGACGACAACTACTGAAAAAGAAAATAGTTAGAGTGGCACTCTGATATCCAGCTCTCAATCGATATGTTTGTCTTTTTTATACATATACTAACGCTTACATCTCCGCCATTAAAAATACGTAAAAAAATGATGTCACATCCTACTGTATTCATCATTTTAAAGGTATGTACCATTACACATACATAAGGAGGACTCATCGATCTCCTCAATTAAGGACTTCATAAGCAGATTGAATCCCAGATCCTTTTAATGGTAAAAAATGATGAGGTATAAATACATAGGTGCCACTGTGAGTAGTTCTGAGCCATGTGGTTCGCTGGCTTAAGCGGTCGACTTTAAGCTACTGCGTTCCGGATTTACACCCCGCTCCATTTACTATAGCCTGAAGAACTAGGTAGTATCATCAGTTCTCAAAGCCTGGTACATGAGGAATCTGTTCGGGGTAATTGTGACCTAACTAAATAAGCCTTTCTACCTAAAGTATTCAACCATTCACTTTACACAAAGTTATTTATCTCACTGATATATTTATCCTTTAAGGCTTTCATCTTTCTGAGCAAATCAATTATTAATGGTTTATGTAACTTAGATCAGTTTGCATGAATCAGCAAACAGCTTGGTTTCAACTAAGTTTCAGCTCCTAATTACTTTTAAAACTCACTGTAAGAAGTAAATCTTGAACAAAATTCGCTAAAGTTTTCTTGTCGTATTCTCCACAAAGGCATCCTCTCGTTAATTTTAAACGCAAACACCGACTTATCCTTTTGGGTATTGGTCAGTGCTGGGAATAGTTTTTCAACTGGAATCACTTTTCAATCCAATTGATGAGTATTTTAGTTAAACGGACTTATTGAACCACCTTCAAGAAAACATGCACTATAACATGAAAACTAGCTTTCATCCATACAGTAAGAAAAATAGAAGTTGCAATAAAAATCCTCACAATCGTAATAAGTGGGTCAACATTATTACCTCCCGCAAACTTACAATCCATTAAAATCTCCAATAGAGTTTCCTGTTCGTATTTTGCAATTAGTCGACGTATATTCACCTTTACACTCATTTGTCATATGATGATCACTTGTAACATCAGATGGAGTATTTACTATAATCGGTGCACCTTTTGTTGGTCCTGAAGACTGAAGAATGAAAGGAGCAGCTAGCCAACTGTTTGGAGGCGGTTTATTACCGGGATCCTTATTTGCAGACTCGTGAATGTTAGATATTCTTGTAACAGGTGTAGTTTTATTGACCAGCTTACTCTGTAATAATAGTTTATTTACTGATCGTGGACGTCCACGAGGTCTCTTTTTTATGGGTGTATCTTCTATAATAACATCACCTACAGGTGCACGTTTTTTGACACGTTTATTAAGAATAAACGCCAAAATATGCGGTATTAAGGAATGTTCACAAGCAATCTCTTTACGTCTTTGACGTTCCCGTAACCTCTGCATGTATATATTGACTTGTGCAACTTTTAAAGCTGAAAATATTTACAAAATGAAAAATAAACATTTGTGCGACTGTGAATGTTTAGCATACATAGATATATATGCATGCTCACATAAATTCAACCTAGCTAGCAAAATCCACTGGTTGTTAACAATAGCAATGAATATAATACATCGTCAGAAATATTTTCGCCAATACAAATCCATGCTCAGATATCAGCATTAGCCGACACAAATGATAATTTAAAGTAATCACTGTTATCTTACATTACATGCGCAGTATGTATTAAAGTGATATTGGCGAAAGCAATGAACGCAATAGGAAAAATCATATGGTATATTTCATATGGTCTCCATAAATAATGTGAAGAATAAAACGTAATCACAACTAAGTGTTTGGTAAAAGCTTTGCGCTCAATGATTTAGGCAATTAAATGTTAACTAAAGAGTTATGCACTTGAATACTTTTCCACCTTGACAAATTTAAAAAGATACAAGGAGTAAAATGGGGATTATTTTGTCGAGTGCTAGGTAAATATACATCACAAAGATGAAAGCGATCAAATGAGAACTATGCCACAATAAAAGAAAGGATCAAATAACCGCAACCTTGCAAATCCCCCACAATCAATGGATATTTTCAACAACCAAAGATAGGTATAGGGATGATTAATAAAAATCCGAATAAAGCTGCTGAAGAAGCTGTGGCTTACACGGCGAAACGTTCAGAAAAATCTTGTTTTGAATTTCTTAACACGCTGGCATTAATTTAAATAATTTATAATGAATTAATCTGACTTGGCGCTCAAATTATTCCAGGAAGTTCGTAACACCTACGGTCTGGAAACCTATAAAGATAGGAATAGATAGCGACTTCATATCTCTCACTGATATTGCCGGCAAGGAAGTTATTCAAAGCTCAACTTCAAACAAAGCTAATTCGAGGGGACAAAACCAAGTATGTTCAAACACAAGATTGCAATACAAATAATAATAATAATAATTGGACTAAAAACTAGTTATAATTGAGCAATAGGTATACACAAAATATCAAGATATCGTTATGTGTTGTACAAAGATGTTGTAAAACGTCAGTACCAACGAACTCGAAAATACTGATAATAAATAACACAACAGACTACTTAGTATACATACCATCTTCGAGATCATCGTGGGAGAAACTTGGATGCAAACGACAGAGAATACTTTCAGCATCATTGTCATAGTCCTAAAATGAATCAAAGCAAATGAATGCAATTAAATAAAGGCGGTTAACTAACCCGTTCAAAATCCCCACGATTTGGCATATAACCTAACAGCTGTTGATCCTCAATATCGATATATGTAGAATATGATGATTGTACTGGAGACGACACTATATTATAGTTTGTATGGTCTGTGATTCGAGAAGAATATTTGTTATCATTTAATAATTCCAAGCCAAAAACTTCATTCAAATAACGATTGCAATAATGACGCATGCATTCATCAGCACTTTTGGTTTCTACTTTTATGGCTATATCCTCCCTAAAAAAAAATTAGCTATTCAGTAGTGAGGACACTAACCAGTTTCCGATCCCATACTGTTCTAAGGCTTCCAAAAGGTTTAATTCTTCTTCAGAACTCCAACCTTCAAGTACGGAATTAGGTAACAAAGTAGCCCTCTAAAGTAATAAACAGATATGTTAGGAAATTTACCGCAATGCGATAACCATGATTCTTCTTGTGCATCCCAGACTCAGCGCCATAACAATAACACTAAAGTAAAGAAAAAAACTTACATGACTTACAGGAATACAAAGCTGTACATGACTGCACTCAAGACAAACGAGGTGAACATCACTTTGCTTCAGACAGTTTGAGCACACATTTTCTTCCAGCATTTTTGACAGCACCTGAGCAAGTTATAATGCATAACAAAATAAGGGCCATATGGAGACAGTTGTCTTGAAGTATGCAAGCTATTAAAATTACTAGAGTGGTAAATGGAATAGTATAATGACTGACCGAACTGACAAAAAAGAATAGAGCATCGCACAAAACTACATCAGCCTACGTTATCACAATCATCCTCACAATCCGAAATGCACACGAAACCTCTCTAATCCTCACTCATCTTTGTCTTCATCTTCATCTCTATCATCTTGCCTACCTTCCAATGATGCAACTCCTCTACTTGATGGCTTCTCACTTCTTCTTCACTCTGTGTCCACTAAAAACGACGGAAGCCAAAAAACCACCACCGATAGTCTCCTAAAGCCATGCCACCAATTTCATATAGGAGCATTTAATGTTAAGACACTTTGCCAAATAGGACAACAAGCATCACTGGCTAAGACTCTGGCATCCCGAGCCATTGATCTATGTTGTGTTTCAGAAACACGCGTACAAGACCCAAGTGTGTTTATTCACCTAACCCCACCTGGCCAACAGGATGAAGCTTCAAAATTCACCTTGAGGGTGTCAGGAGATGCCACAGCCAGTTCACGAGGATTAGCTGGCGTAGGGATAGCTTTGAGCACTAGGGCAGAAAAGACACTGCTTGACTGGATCCCGGTAGATAGCCGAATGTGTGCTGTCCGTCTGAACGGGTCAGTAAAAAGGAGGAAGGACTGCACTACTCGCTGATGTCTTTTCGTAATCTCCGCCTACGCCCCCACTGACTGCAGTTCGGATGAAACGAAGGATGAGTTCTAGTCAATCGACGAGGCTATAAAGTTACATAGATTGAGATGGCTATGTCATGTGCTGCGTATGACCAACCATCGCCTCCCCCGACAGGCATTACAAGCTGATATAGGTGTAGGTCGGAAAAGAGTAAGTGGTGGCCAAACAAAAACATGGCCTCATCAATCCATGAAATCCTTGACAGTTAAACTGAGTCAGGTAGGAAGATGCAGACTTCCGGGTTGGGGCCCTCGGGACTCTAGGAATCAATGGCTGGAGACAATAGGTGATATGGCTCAAAATCGTTGTCAATGGCCAGCGCAGATGTATTCAGTCTCTTTAATCTTTCATATTCCTTTCTACCATTACCCATTCTGTTTCGCTCTTATACTTGTCAAACTCTATTGATTCTCTTCACTCATCTTTTTGTCTACCTCTGTGTGCTATTTGGAACGTGGCAACTCGAACTGGTGGACTTCGGTGCCAAGTTCTATGTTGAATCCAGACAGACAGACTGAGATGAACCGTATGCAAAAATGGGGATTAGAAGTACATTGGAACTGAAGTAGACGCATGGCGAAACAATAATCAGGGTAGCCTTCCAAAATCTGGATGCCAACAGTCTATGCCATTATCTACAAGCAGATTTTCAGCATTTCGAAGATCTTAACTGGGTAATCTACATCGGCCTGTGCAGTCTAAACCGAAGCGCATGAACATTATGAAATGTCGCCATGTTTCAAATCTATTTCTAATTCTTGCTTAATTACATTTTAGGCAACTAGGAGGGTCGTTTTCATGGAGACTGTCTTAAGACCTCATCGACTGATTTCATCTCCTTACCTAACATTCAACACCTAGCTCCGAAGCTACTGGTCATACCCAGTTTGGAGAAATGGTGAAGAATGAGCATGGCAAGTAATACGATAAAGTAGGTGAATTTTGTTTATATGACAATTTTACTTATCTCAACCAAAATATAATCAGCATTTCCCATTATTAAGCCACTGTTTTTCCATTTTAAACTTCGGGCGATAATTTCCCATTATGACCATTCTTTAACCAGGATTTGCCTATTTTTGTTCGACTGGGTACTAACCTACATAACACAGTGCACTGAAAAAATGCACACATGATCTAAGACTGTTGATATATCCATAGAATATGCTTTCGTTAGTCATGCCTCACAGTCGAAGTCGAATGATTGGCTGACTGAGTCATAAAAAACGAAACCAGACGAAGATGATACAGGCTGACGAATTTCAAACGAGATTGAGCCAGCATGAGCCAATACTACTTCTCCAATTAAAAAAGTTTACAACCTACTCCTAAACTAGGGGACAGCTTTTTTCCAGTTATTTTTGAACAGACTCTAAACATTAGTGTCGGATGCAGTGATTTTGGCATCTCGTGGATATCCACATATTTGTGGTATCCAAAGAGTTCTGCAAAGATATTTTCCTTCAAATCAGAATCTAAAGTTTAGGAGTATATTCAGTTTTTCCAATAAGATACTTTTTCATACATTTATTCCCCTTAATGAATTTGAACAAAGCAAGAACTACAGTTTTAGCAGAATAAAATGGTTGTTGTAGATATATTTAATAATGTCTTTGCCATGTAAGCAGCTGACGAGAAGGCAACGAAATAAAAGATGGTACCATTTTATTCTGCTAAAACTGTAGTTCTTGCTTTGTTCAAAGATACTTTTCATGCTGCTACCAAGTATCCACAAAATTATCTACGAACAAAGTTTAATATTCATCGAGTAGGAAAAACACAAAATACTGACAAAAAAGCTGGACTTAAAATCTGCATGCTAACTAACAAGAAAGGACAGTATCGTACTATACTGTTCAACATAACAGAATATATATGTATGTGTATATACATATGTATCTATATAGACTATTAGCACCTTTCGAAAAAGCACATGTAAACAAAATCTATCACTATAATAACCCCGCAAAACTCCAGTAAACCTCCTGAAGCATAATAACATCTGACAACAAAAATATTCGAGGACAATGTGTGGTTTAAAACAAAACAAAGGAAACTAAAATCCAGTGTAACGTACATCCCGTTTAACGCGGGTAAGAATTTCGAAACGGAATTTCAAGAATCGACAACATGAATGTGCTTGAAAAATTAAATTAATGAATTGATAACATCACTCTAATGGAAAAAATTGTACACACAAGGTGGATAAATCCTACTCTTTGCATACAATTTCTGTGTAGAGCATTATAAAGATTTAACCAAAATCATAGTAAGTGGTGCTTAAAGTTTAAGTTGGCCCATAATCCATCTCCGAGTTGCGGGTCACACAGTTACTATCAAAAGAGTGTCTATAAATATAACATAAACTGTCTCTAAGTTGTTGGAAGACATTGTATTGAGAACAAAATACTGAGGGATGTGAAGCAACTTGGAATGTCGACGGATGGACAACACGGATTCATTCCTGAGACATACTGCTTAGCGGCTGAATAGATCCCGCTTGCTGAAGGTCATCATATGAATGAGGCAACTGAAGATCGTCTTCGCCCACGCTAGTCGGTTAATTTGAACTGCTTTTTACAAACAGTCCGTCCACACACTTGTTTTTACTGCTATCCTGCAGTTATTCGCAGCTTATCATGATGTAAGTTGTCGATTAATGTTTCGTTTTGCAACTTTCTGACTCTGTAACCAGTAAAATGAGTTACTTCACTTGTTTCTAAAGTTTTTACCGCCCATTCAGTTCATTTATTTCATAGCAATTATTTTGTTTGTTGCTTTCATGTAATCTTTTAGTGCTGTAGTTATTTCCCAGCTGTAATTAACACCATGTAAAATTTCGAAAATTATAATAATAATATATATTTTCATATAAACATATAAATTTACATGAAAATGCATACCATTTTTACAGGCACGATCAAGTATGATATAATATCAAATCGTAGATTGTTAATAATGTTTCAACGGCTAAATATTTGATATGTATATATAAATACACTCATTGTCTGAACCAGGCCGTATAGTTATTGAATTGTACAGTTGTCCTCCAGGTTTCGCGGGAAAATCAACTTCGTTTCATTTTCAACCCGTGGTTGTAGGCATACGATAACCAAATAATATTGAGGTAAGTACAACGTTTACAAGGGAATTGAAAGCTGTTTTAGAAAAGTTAAAGTGCTAAGGTGAATCATTAAAGTGTAATGAAATAAGTATTTGCAATGTATTATCAATAAATGCACTCATAAAGGAAATACAATGGGAAACCAATTAATCGATAGGCTCGCAACGTTCATTTGCAATGTGTAACGCTACCCATGTAGGTCTTAATCTCATGATGTCCACTTTCGGCTTTATTACAATTATTCTCAAGCCAGTTGTTTTTATTTCATACCTTCTTGTCTATTTGGTGCACAACCGTACCCTACAGAGAATAGGAGTAGAATTATTATTATTCTTGCTCCCTTGGGTTCCTAGTGGAACATAGGGCTTCCACTGCACGTCTCCATTTGCTTCTGTCTTCTACTGTACTTTTCGCCTTCATCCATGTTAGTCCATATTCTTTCAACTCTTCACACGATCTCCTCCATGTCACCCTTGGACGTCCCACACGCCGCTTCCCTTTCGGGTTCCACTCGAGCTGGCCTCACGCGCGATGTCACCCAGCGGCCTCCTCAGCGAGTGTCCAATCCATCTCCACTTTCTCTTGCATATTTGTTGGGCGATTGGTTCTTGCTTTGTTTGTTCCCATAATTCCTTGTTGGTGATTCTTTCCGGCCATCTGATCTTCAGTATAGTGCGAAGACAGTTGTTAATAAAGGTCTACAACCTTTTGGAAATATTCTTTGTGACCCGCCAAGTTTCTGATCCGTATAGAAGAACTGACTGACTTTACGTTTGTATTGAAAATCCGAATTTTGTTGGTGATGCTGAGTGACGAAGATTTCCAGATTGATTTCAGGCTGATGAATGTGTTTCTCGCCTTCCCGATTCTCGGATTTGACATCCTCGTCCGTTCCCTCCTGTAGTTGAGACAATGCTCCCTAGATAAGTGAATGAAGTAACCTCTTTCAAATCCCTCCCGTTGATGGTGATTGACGTTGGATGTTGTTGTTGTTGTTGGTTGGTTATTTTCATAACCTCCGTCTTGTCTATGTTTACCTGGAGTCCTGTCTTTGCTGCTTCTTCGACCAGTTTGTCGGTTTTCGCTTGTAAGTCTTCGATTGTGTGTGACATCAAACATAAGTCATCCGCGAAATCCAGGTCTTCTAGGTTCTTCACGTCGGTCCAGGATATTCCTGTCTTCTCGTTTCCCACTGTCTGACGCATAATCCAGTCAGTCCACCACAATTAGGAATATCATTGGTGATAGTAAGCACCCTTGTCTGACTCCTGTGTTTACTCCAAACGCCTCGCTGAGTTTTCCGTTGTGGATCACTTGACATGTGCCGTTGTCGTACAGCTGTTGAATAAGGTTGATGAATATTTGGGGTACGCCATAGTACTCGAGTAATTTCCAAATTACTTCACGGTCAACGCTGTCGAAGGCCTTCTCAAAGTCTATAAAGTTGAGGTAGAGGTTTGATTGCCATTCCATGCTTTGTTCTGTGATGATGATGCGTAGAGTTGCAATTTGGTCAGTACATGATTTGCCTTTCCTGAATCCAGCTTGTTCTGGTCGGAGTTCTGTCTCCAGTGCGTCCTTTAATCTCTCCAGGATGATGCGACTCAGGATTTTACTTGGCGTCGATAGGAGCATGATTCCTCGCCAGTTCTTGCAGAGTAGGCCTAAGTCGCCCTTCTTTGGTAGTTTCACGAGGTAACCTTTCCTCCAGTCAGTAGGCACCTTTCCCTCCTTCCAGACCTTTTGCAATAATGGAGTCAGCATGTCTGCTGTCGTCTCTGGGTCTGCTTTCAGTGCTTCAGGGGGTATTCCATCTGGTCCGGCTGTTTTTCCAGCTTTCAGAAGTTTGATTGCGTTCAAGACTTCAGCTCTCGTTGGAGGATTGGTGTCAACTTGCAGTTGTGTGCGCGCTGTTGTTGGTATTTCTGGACGGGTTGCAGGTGATGGTCGGTTCAAGAGCCCATTGTTTAATCTGTTTTTCTTCCTTGGTAATGGGCTTCCCTTGGCTGTCTTTTATAGGTTTCGCTTGTGTTGATCTCTTCCCGGATAGAGATTTGGTTATCTGATATAGTGTCCTCAGGTCCCTTTTGCCTGCTGCCTTCTCAGCTTCAGTGTCCAGATTGTCGTAGAATCGTCTTTTGTCCTTCCTAGCACTCTTCTTCACTTCTTTGTCCAGTGCTGTGTAAGTTGAGCTCATCGTCTCCTTCTCCTGTCCGTCCTTGCATTGAATCATTTTCTCTTTCACCATTCTCCTCTCTTCTATTAATTTCCAAGTGTCCGTTGAGAGCCATTCCTTGTCTTGTCTCTTCTTTCTTCCTAGAACCGTTGAACACGTTTCGTTGAGAATCGCCTTCAGAGACTTCCAATGTTCTTCCACACATGATTCTTCAGTGATGTCGCGTAGTGTTTCCTGCTTTGCTCTGACAGTTGCAGTGAAAGTGTCTTTTGTGGTTGTGTCCTTCAGTTTTTGAGTGTTGAACTTGCATTGTGGCCTATCCCCAGCTATCCTCGAGGCTTTTAGTTTCACCTTGAAAGTCCCTTCTACTAGATAGTGGTCTGAACCCACATCTGCTCCTCTCCTTGACCTTGTGTCCAGTAGGCTCCGTCTCCACTTTCTTGAAATTGAGATGAAGTCTATTTGATTCTTGGTGTTTCCATCTGGTGAAATCCATGTCGTCTTGTGTATATCCTTGTGTTTGAACACACTACCGCCAATCACCAAATCATTGAAGGCGCAGAAGTCTGAGAAGAGTTCACCATTGTCGTTCATTTCGCCGAGGGCCTCACGACCCATGGTGAGTTCTCTTCCTGTGTTGTCTCGTCCCAGCTTCGCATTCATGTCGCCCATCAGGATTTTGATATCGCCATTTGGGACGTTGTCCATTATTGCTTGTAGTTGTCTGTAGAACGCCTCCTTCTTCTCTTGTTCTGAGACGTTTGTAGGCGCATAACATTGAATGACTGTAACTTTCCTTCCTTTTGAGTTGAACCTGGCTGTCATTATCTTGGAGGAGATTCGTTCCCACTTCGTGAGAGCTTTGGATGCTGTTTTTTATTTTATTTTTTTTGATTCACAGCTTGATTCCAGACTGTATTTTTGGTGCAAGTATGGAATTTTCAGCATGGATATCGGTAGCCCAAATTTTCCAGGCCAACCATAGATATCAGGTGTGCGCCGGCGTGGGCTCGAGCCCCGTACCATATGCATGGTCGGCGAGAGTCCTAACCACTGTGCCACCGACGCACATCATGACATCATGATGGCCACTCCCTCAGTGTGCTCATGGTTGTCCTCTGGGTGGCCGGAAAAGATTACTGTCTCTTCAGTAGGTAGTTGGCACCTTCCAGTTCCGTTCCATCCGCTTTCGCAGATTCCCAACTTTTCTATTCTGTACCTTCCCATTCCAGCGGCTATCTGGACAGCCTTTCCAGTTTCGTACATTGTACGAACATTCCAGGTACCCATCCTTACTTTGGCTTTCATCGAAAGAATGCATAATGCTAAGTGTTTATTAAGAACTGATCTAGCATTTATGGAGATGACGAATAGACTTATCCATGCCTGCACAACCGGTGTGTCCTACATAGATAGGAATAAATATATATTATTGGCACTTTGACTATGTGGTTTTAGTGTATGGGTGACGTCGTAATAAAATACTCTATGATTACTTTCTGAATACGTGCAGTCGTTATCGGACTCATTAACTGCAACTTTTTTATCACTAGAGACGTTTTCTTTGACTTGATACCTAGGGATGGGTTGTGAAATGTCATTCATATGTAGTTGGTCGTTTAGATATTGCGTGCTATGAGAGATACTAGTATGATAATCTAGAGTATTACTGTTGGTGTTAGGTGTGCATAAGGTGTTTGCTATCTGCCAGGAAAGTAGCAGTTTCCTTGTTGCAATGTGTTCGCTATACCCGCATGGAATTGGTCTGATATCATGCATGCTACGTACATGATCCCAGGCGTTTCTGCCAGTTGTCTCTGGAGAAAAATTTGGTCATAT